TGGTGGCGCGGGGTTTGCAACCACTTACTGGCCCCAGCTATGTGGACACTTCTCAAAATCGGGGAGGCCCAAAAATGCGTTGTTTCCATTGGCTTCTACTACCCACAAAAGGGTCCTCCATTTTGAGACAGCTCAATGTGGAGGTATGCATCGAAACCCTGGGAAGGGGAGCGTGGCACCAGCGCTCTAGAAACGGTTTGGATGCGCTTCTCTCGTGGATTTCACAGGTTATTGCGCCTGTTGGTTCGTTTTTCAGTGCTCTGTTTGCACTCTTTCCAGTGGAGCTATTTTGACGGTACCATTTTTGGCCCCCTTTGATTGAGGTTACCAGACAATAACATAGCACATCCGACCACTTTTACTAACAAGCAGTACCTGCAGAAAGTTGCCGCCCCCCAATCTCCCAAATGATGCTCTAACTATCAGTCTGACGTAAAACAACCGGAATTGGCCTCGGGGAGCGAGTGAACGTAAGCCCTGCCTCGTCAGTCTCCAGGGCCACGGCCGTGGCCACGGGCGCTTCCGGCATGTCCTGGTCCAAGCCCGTTGCTCGCAAAAAGAGGTGCCGGCTATGAAGGAAAAACTGGCCAAAACACCAGTAGAGAATGGTGCTCCTTCACTGCTGAAATCTTGCAGAAAGGGCATTTGTGTTGAGGGTATACCGTACACCTCAATGGGCTCCAAACAACATAACACAAATATACTTGGCACAGCCGAAATTGGGGTAAGCATGGCTTCCCAGCAATTTGGGGCGCCACCCCACGGTTACAAAATCAGGGGTCAACACGGTTACAACCCTCATCCCCCTAGAATTCTGCAGGATGTGATCTGCCTGTGCGCGCGCGCGGCCAACTTTGGACCCGGGAAGCTGTCAAAAAAAGGGCGGGATGACAGGTTGCACTTGTTTATCCGACCTGCGGAGTGTCTTCAACAAACCGGGAAGAAGCATCAGCTTTTGTCTGAGTGAAGCAACCCTAAAACGGTCAAGACCGGTGCAGCTCTGCAAGAAACCATTTAGGGGGTGGGGGGTAAATGCAAGGCATGTTCCCGCTGGATGTTTCAAGGTAAAGCAAACAGAGATCCTCTCCCCCGCCCCTTTTCAGGAAACACCGACTGAGAGCCACAACAATTGAGAGCAGCACAAGGAGAGCTATGGCAAGGTCATTGCACGTCCATAGCCACGTCCCTGTTACAGAAATGGCCACACGCCCCTTGAAAGGAAACTCTAAAGGAACTAGCCTTCATTTGCAACTGGCCAAATGTGTCAAACCAACCCACGTCTGAGGGGAAGTTCCCCCCAAACCCCAACCAACCCTAAACCACCCCGTACTGCATGGTCCGTGCGGACCCCAGAGTGGATCCCATGGACATCGCATGGACCCCCGCCTTTCGCTTCGACTTGGAGCCTCTGATCGCTCTCCACCATGCAAGGACCTAAGCAGCAAATGGAGGTGGGGGCTGGGCCCAAACGACATGGTTGCAAAATAACATAGACTCGTTTTTTCGTCCACCATACGGGGTTCCCGTTTTGTAATCGGATCCTCCAGGACTTTATTCCTATCTGCGAGGACACTGTTTAAACCACTATGCTTTGAACAACCATTCAAGGGACCTTTGGCTGATTATCCTTAGAAAAATAATGCCTCTGAGAATTGCTCCGAAGAAGGCCTCCTTTCTAGATCCTCTTTCAATGGAACATGTCGGCTTTTGGGCAACCTTTCAAGGTAACCCACAGGGAAACCTCCGCTGTAGTGCGAAGCTTGGGTTGGCTCCCAACGACTTCGTCACCCAAAGCTCCAGCGGAGTTTCAGCACAACGACGCAATGAGTTGCAGAAAGGGGCCCTTACCCGCCAAAAGCAGATTCCTCTAATCATGAAGGGCTTGCTCGGCTGCATATTTTATCTGTAGAGGAGAGAAGGATGGCATACCACAGAAAGTGGCAACCTGAACCCCCCCTCCCATTTTCCGCAACCATGCCTGAACAAGAATGCAAGTGCCCGCCGAACTCTGCTGAAGAAAAACAAAAACAAAGCGAGGATATCAACTGTACCGGAAAGTAGGAGTCCCAAACCCCACCGGCAAGAAATGTTCCACAGCCATTCGCCAATCTGAAATCATTCACCGCTAAGACTTGCTTATCGTTCACTGATGACCATCTAGGTGATTTTTAAGGATTCACCGGGCATGTGACGGTCTGTGTCAATTAGATATCGGGACCCCCCGCAATGCTGATGTTCTTCTTGAATTCTCTTCCGGAAGCACGGTTTTCACCCCTTCGAACCTGATGGAATCTTCCAAAGCAAAAGCAAATCCAGTGGAGAACGGAATCAGCTCCCATAGAACCAGCTCCAAAACCTGGACAACTTGATACTCATTCTTTATTTTGATTGCCCGCCCAACAAACATGAAATGGCCTCTTCTGGAAGACGACCATTTCCCAAAGGAAGCATGTGCTCTTCAGTGATTGTTGTCGGAAGGGTACTCCCGTGCAGAATCACATGGAACTCAAAAATGGGGGCCTTACCCCAAAAGGTTTGTTTTCGGACAGGTCCCCCGCAAAATCACGGAGCCCGAAAAGGGGCAACGGATGAGGCATTGGGAGGTTCCAATCTGCGTGGAAGGAAAGGGGGATTCAAATCCAGCGGAAGCGTCGCAAAGATGAAGAAAACCCCAGGAGCGCGATCTGTACACTTCAATACACTTCAATCAAGAATCAATACCATGACCATTTGAATGAATGCCCAAAACCTTGACTCAGACGCATTTGAGGAACCCATTTCTTCGGGGAACCAAATCCTTCGCACGCAGTGGTAAACTCAGTCAGGAGGAAAAACAAAGCGACCCCAAGAATGTGGAAGTCTCCAAGATAAGTAGCTCCAAACTAAACCAACTATACCAACAGGGTCTTGAAACAACTCACAACAAGAAGTGATCGGCCTAAAACATGAGAAAACGTAGGAAAGTCCCGCCTATGTTGCAAAGTCTACAAAGTCAACCTTGCTAGTCATCTCAAGGCTGGGGTCTGCGAGTTGCAGGGCCTCCCTGTTCCTTCGGCCCAACCTCCCAAAAGGCGGAACCGATGTAATCGGCCAGATGCGCCGAACCGATTTCCCGCCGTTTCCCTCAAGGCCCCAGCGGCCAAGACCTCCAGCATCAGCAGCACCAGCACCGTGGCATCCTCCAGCTGCCAGCCCGTCTTGTGGTTTGGGGCCCAATGGATGGTTCGACTCCAACTTCCTGGACAACATGTGAGCACACAACCATTTTTCCTTTCCTGTCCGGGGTATGCTCGAAAGGTAAGGAGAAATAGGACACGTACCCACGTTTTGGGTGTGCTTTAAGCAGGTTGAAACTACCAGCGCAGCGTTTAAGGGAAACCGCAGGAGTAATGAGAACCCAGAGTTCGTACATCCCAATAGGGGTTGTCCCTGCTGAGTGGGATCCTTCACTTTCTGGGTGACACCCTCATTAATCGGATGGGTTTATTCTGCCAAAGTCAAGAAGAGAAGGAACCAGGATGCAGCTGTTCAATCATGTGTTGCCAAACCCTGATCCTCCAGCGCAACTTTCAGCTCTGGGGAGAGTAGCGCCGCGCCACTCCAAGCCATGGCGAAATGGAAGCGAGAAGCGAGCCCAGGGTGGTCAAACAGAAACAATGGAATTCAGACGTGAAGCAGGCGATGCACCCAACCAGGAGATGGTTAAACCCAGGCAAAAGAGCTGGTAAGGGCAAAGAAAGCCGAGAAGCTAGAGAAATTACCAACAACGGGAAACCACCCGGAGCACGGAAAAGCTTCTGCTTATTCCTTGCTTCGCCTTGGGCACGCTTGAGAAGGCGGCCAGCAGCAGCCGGTTTTGCGCAAGCGGCCACACGTACGAATGTTCCTACATGGATGTGTGGCTGTGTGTGAAATGGATGTTGTTTTTCCCTGTGGGCTTCCTTTAAAACTTTAAAACCACCTTTTTGGGGGTACCCTCCAAAAAAAGACCCACCCACATGGTAAACTAAGTAAGTCCCCTGGGTCTTGTTGGAAATTCAGCGAGTTCCCCCTATGTCAATTCCAAATGAAGCATAGACAAATCAAGGAAATTCGGACCAAACCTCACAAGCAGAAGCCCGGGCGCCGAAGCCATGCGTGCATCCAACAATTTTAAGCCTACTAGGTTTTAAGTGTGTCCTGTCATGATCGTAGGTGTATATATGTGGCATGACAAAAAATCATGGGACCCACATGTTCTCAAATCAATGATTCCAATTGGTGGGGCTGTTGAAAAGCAATCACATGATATGCATGCTTGACTATTCCCGGCTGCGCCCCTGCCAAAAACAATCGATTGATGGTTTTTAATGGTTGGATTCCCCTTTATACTCCTGTTGAAATGCAATCTAGTCACAGTGACATAATAACGGCCATGTTCACTGAAGTTGCACAACAAATATGTATCTTTATCAAACTGGCACGCGCGTTGTCACTTGTTGCAAGTCGCTGCAAAAAACCAGCACCTACGATCCAGGTGTGTATATATATATATATATGTATATATATATATGATGATATATTCACATGGTATAACTCATGTCACCAAACGCTGATCCATGTTTGCGGTACAAGGGTATAATTTTGTGTGTGTGTGTGTGATCCATCTTTTGGTAGACTTGCTTGCGTCCAAATAATGTTTGAGTGTCAAAAGGTGTAGTTCCTGATGACACAAATGCGAAACCTATCCTTGATCATGCAGACGGGCTCAGTGCAAAGTACAATGTCCCACATGGGTATGTCTCGTTGTGAGGGCACCCCTTTTAAAATAAGGGTTGCACCTGGTTGGCGGTCATCTTTGAGGCTTTCCGGATCAAATCCACCCCAAAAAGAATACATCAAAAAACAAATGCACGCACAAATACTTCGTCAAATTTCAACTCTGAACCCTGGGTTTATGTGAGTCCACTGTCATGCTGGCAAAGGGCATTTGTGCCATAGGTCATGTCTGGGGCGTCGGCACAAATGCTCTTCTCCGCGAAGCTCTGCTTTCGCAACCTGGCACACGGGGTCCCAAAAAGCGATGGGCCTCAAACTGGAACAGGAGCCCTAAAATGGTTGGCCCCCTTTGTGGCTTCTCTTGAAAACAACCCCCGAATAGGAGTAGCCTCCGAAAACTGTGGATGGTTTTGAAAGGGAAGCCCAAAAAGGAAACCAGCAAAAAAAATGGGGTGGGGCACTGATTTGGAAAGAAACCCATGGGAACAACTCTACACAAGGCAATCAGAACCTGGCTCCAGAGCGAGATGCCGTGAGGGGCGCCCTCAGAAAACGGAGGCGCTTGGAACTAGGTAGTCTCTTGACTGAGATCGTTGTACCCTTGGCACGGACGCCATGAATCGGATGGAGATATTTATGACAGCATCAGGGTCTTAGGGACCCCCTCCAATTCTTTCATTCAGATTTCAACCAGGATGACACGTTTAGTTCGACACGCTTTACCCGAGCAAAGAATACACTCCCCCATGCAGGACCAGCACGCGGGGCTGCCATGTTCGCTTTCTGCTCTCAACGAGCACGCGACTGGTGGATTGGAAATGTGAAGGGACCTTTGCACTGCCGACTTTCCGCTTGGCCGCCGCTTGCTTTTCCATTTGGAGCCCACAGGATGCTACAGCACACGTCTCTGGGACTCCTTCGACTCTCGGCTGCGGGCCCCGCGCTCGCCTCTTTGGCTTCGCCAGCTGCCCAGCGCACCTGGCTGGAGCGAAGGCAACATGAGCTCAGATCCAAGAGCATAAGCCCACAGCACCACTTCAGCTATCTAAACGACGATGCGAGATCTTCGGATTCTTGCGACATTATGCCAATCAATGGCCGCCTCGCGGCCCGGCGGATGTGATGTGGACAAGTTGCTAACATTACCCTTCCAACTGTCACCAAGGTTCGAGGAGGCAGCCTTCCTGACTTTCGGGTGTCAGGCAGCCATAGGTTGATCACTGCTCTGAGATATGGTGAACAGCTACTATTCCTGGTCTTGTGGGGAGACTAACAGGTCATGGAAGTTGCTTCAACCACAGCTCGAATACTCTCTCAACTCATCAATCTGGTGTCACTGCCCTAGCATTCACATGCTCTTGGAGTTCTGAACTGCTCAAAGTTGTTGTTTTGTGAACTCACAAGAATAATGTTGTGATCCTTTCTACTAACATGACCCGTGTCAAATGAAGTCTGACTCATTCATAACATGGGAGTCGCCTTGGCAGCTGCTTCGGCTTCCGCATTGATGGCAGCCACTTGCGCAAACCTCACAAGCAACGCGTGCACAACTCCGTCTTTCTCAAATGTCTGAATCCATTATCTTCCTCCTTGCAAACTTACTGATCTCAACATTGATCTTGCAAGTCTCCAACCAACCGCAAAAGCCTTCAGCATTCTCCAAACGCTCGGTGTTCTCCTCTTCTCAAGTTCTCTGTCACACGGGAGGGTGTGTCATTTTTGAAGGAACCTGCAAAATAGATAATGTCCCTTTAAATTCCCTTACCGAAAAGGGCACCCTTGGAAAAAGAACCCCAGGAGGTGGTGCCAATCCTTCTGATCCGCGCCAAAGAGGACCTCCTTCTGAACAACAAAACGTCCTACACCAAACAGCCGAGGCGCTTCGCTTCTTCGCTGGCCTTTGCAGCGGTTGCGCTGAGGTCTGCGCGTTCCTCGCGGTTGGCAAAAAATTGGACGGCAGGCGACGGTCACGCCTTCCATCTGACCACTTTGGTGGACCAACCCTTTCCAGCTGTATCAGTTCCCAGAAATGGTGTGCTTTTTTTCCTGGGCCTGCGCATGAAAATAAAAATGCCCCTACAACATGCTTTTGTTAGGGCTTTGCCTGGCCTTCCAAGCAAGCGCCTCTTGCTACGGCAGCACGTCACGGTCTCCAAGATCCGACTTACATACCCGAAATGGGCCCATCCAACGTTTTCATGAAAACAAAACCCGGGGAACCCCCCCCGAAACCAAGCGAATGCCAATTTCGGATCGAACAAACAAAGGGGGGCCCACGTTGATCCAAAGAATCCCCCTAATTCGTCGTACGACTCACATGTCATCAGGCTCCTGCGCCCACTTTCCTCGGTCGCGGCCCCACGCCTGGCAAGGTAGCAAAAAACTGGTCTACGCGGAAATGTTTGATGGTTCTTAGACGAAAACCGAACAGGATTACTCACCGCACAGGAGATTGCCACATACCCACTTCACGTATAGGAAGCTTGCCACACCACAGCCTCCAGGAGCGAGCGCCTCACTTTGTCGGCCACTTGCTGGGCTGAGGCCTCGCGCAATGCCACCGTCGAGGAGCTGTGGGGGCGAGGCGTCGGTCTGGGGGTGGACCCGCGCAATTTTCAGTCGGCATCAATTGGCCATGAATGTAATCTGGGGATACCCTCAAAAACGGCTGCGCATAAATCCTACTGCAACCTGAGATACCCTTTAAGAAGCGCTTGGAGATAAATGCCACTAAATACCCATGTAAATGATGTCCACCCAATGCAAAATAAATGATCTGGAAGAATCTCTGATCCTAACCATGCAGTTTTAGGCACGCCTACTCCGTGCTAGTAGGCGCCGCATAGGCTCCTATAGCGGGGTCTCCCATGTGTTTGTGCTTGGTTTAGTTGTTGGTTGTTGATTTATGTAAAGATCCGGGGGGGGGGGGGGGGTCCGCCTGTGTGAAGCGATAAGCGTTGAGAGGCGATCTCAAACGCAGGGTTGTGACAGTTGTGACGGGAGCCGAGCAAAGCCAGAAGTCAGGCAAGCTGAGGCTGCCGGAGTGGTCCGCCGCCGCTGGCAGCTTTTTCAGCGCGTCGATGTACTCCTGCAATCTTTCCGCGGAAGGCAGCTGACCGTCGTCCACAGCAGCAACTGCTTCTCCGAGGTCGGCGTAGTCGATGAGCCACTGGCCTTCCTCTTCGCGCGCTGTCTTGCACTTCTTGAAGGCAGGGATGCCGAGCTCAATCTGCAAGTCAGAGGCGCGTTCGGCCCCCAAAGTTGATGTCAAGGGGGCGGCGGAGGGTCAAATTAAATGGCGAGCTGACATTGCTGGTAGTAAGGTGCTAAACAAAGTAAGCGCGCTTTCTTGTGATTGGACTTGAGAAGTGACGAGGAGCAAATCAGAGCAAGAACGCGTCCTTCATACATTATGTTTGTTTCTTCAATCGTCTGCGTTCTTATTTCTTATCTTGCTGGCTTGGCGCGTTTCACATCAGATCTCAGTCCAGCACTCCTTGCACCTGACCAACCTTAGCTTCAAGTGTCCCTTCAGAATTCTCTGGAGTTAATCTGGACAAAAAAAACACGACTGCGTGGAGGATAAACAAAAAGTCGACGGCACAAAACATGACGTGCGCTCTTTGGAGCAAGAAGTACGGAAGGTTTGCAACGCTCAGGCAGCCTGAATGGTGAGATCAACCACCTTCTTGAGCCAGTCTGGTTCACCCGGCAGACAAGGGAACATTTTTGGGGGTTGACCATTGTTAGTGGGGAACCGACCAAACAGGAAGGGTGCCACTGACCACCTCACCTTCCCACGGCATCGCCTCCTGTGCCGCTTTTGCTGAGTGGATGGATGCCACCAATTCCGAGCGCTCCATGTTGAACGCAGCCTCAATAACCGGCCCCAACAACTTGCTGGTGCTCAGTAGGGAATGAGGGAATAAAACTTGGGGAAAGGAAACCACAAGGGATGGTTTATAGGGGTCATTGCCTCACTCCCTGCTGAGCACCGGCAATTCAAGGGGAGCACGTGGAATTCATCAGGTGGTGCATGGCCCATGTCGATTGCGTCATGCACACAATTTGTTTGGTGTCTCCGACTAAGTCCCCCCACCAGCTGCTGATGAAACTGCTCCTCGCCTGGAGCGAAGGTAAAAGGAGCCTGGCCCGTTTGTGGACAAACGTACAAATGGAGGAGCGCTGTTGGCTGACTGGAAGGAAACCAAGGCTGTCCATAGTGCCACGCACGCGCCCTTTGAGAGTGCAGGCTCTGCCAGAACGGCAATGCGTCTCAAACAGGCAAGCAATCAAACCAACCGACACTACCAGTCATGTGGGCGTGTCTTTGTTTGAGGGTGCGGTTTTTCGGGTTGGTAATGTAACGGCAACTAAAGGAAAACCCGCCAATTTAGGGGGTCCCCCTATTTTTTGAGACACTCCCGTACGGTCCAACGCTGTTCGCGGTCCGGCCTTCCATGGAGAGCATCTTTTCAGCTTCGACCTCTTTGGTCATGAGCTCATTGTCCTGCCGTTCCCCTTCCCACCCCCGCCGAATGGCTGGTTTTGTCAAGCAGAGGCCGCAAAAAAGAGCGGCATCTCCATCATGATGCCACGCTGCTTTGGCCACATTCATGAAATCTTCTGCAGCTTCTTGTGAAGGGGAGCATCAGGTTTGTCGCAGGTACTGGAAGGACTTCACATTAAGCTGGTCCAAGAATATGCCATTCTGTGCGAAGGTCCTCACAACTTGCAAAAGTATCAAAGTTTTAGCTGAAAGGAATGATACCCCAAAAACCAAGCAAACAACACAGGTCTCAAGCGCTCCATGGCAGCTGGAGTCTTTTTGCGCGGCTCGTTTCACTTAAGGCAAACAGCCAAAGTGATTTTGCAATCCTTTTGCGCTTCCCTTGCCCATTCCCACCAAACAAAACGACGCACAAAATTGCCATTTCAGAGTTGAAACAACCACAAAAAAAACCTGACCAGTTGCAGCCAAAGAACAAAAAATGACCACCTTCACTTTCCTCGAGGTCTTCTCCACGACTCCCTCCCTCTTTCCGTCCCTCGGGCCTGCTCCAGCGCCCAAAGCCTGGCGCGCAGCAGCTCCCCGAGCTGCTCCTCCTGCTCCAAGGTGTCCCGCAGAGCCTGCGCTCCGCTTCGCGCATTGCGCGCGGCGAAGGGGAAAAATGCGTCGGCCCCCGATTTCAGTGAGTGGAAGGAAGTGGACGATGTGAGCTCCGATTTTGGGAGCCCCCTTCATAGGCTTGCTTCAGAGCCGTTGTTGGGAAACGACGGTGAAGGATCCAGGCTTATGCTGTCCATCCAACCAAAACCATAGTATCCCTTGAAAGATGAGGTCGATCGTCCGTCAAATCATCGAACATCGCAAGACACATAAATCCGTTCGCCACAGAATGCGGCCATCCAGTTGCTGCAATCAAGGAGCTATTGTCTGGACCCATAAATCAAAACCATGTTCATGTTGGTACCCTTTGGTGGCCCGTGTCCAATACATAAACATCTATCTGTAGCTTTAGTTGCCTCCAGAACTTTGGAGACCTGATCAGGTTCTCGTATCTGGATTCAATCATTCAGCCTTTGATTGAGGATACTCCAACAAAGCCCAAGGCTAGCCATGCTAGCCCACAGCACCACCTTCCAAGACGTGGACAGGGAGTCTTCACTTTGTGGATCGGGTGCCAAACTTTGGGACAGTGCCATGAGGCCGGGCTCTTCAAAATGGCGGATTGGCCAATCCGGTCCTCATCCATTCCCACTCAGAAATCACTACGAAGGGGATCGTTGGTAACCAATGGGATTGCCGTGGAACATCGAGGGTTCGAATGCTGTAGACTGCTATAAACGCACCTTTAAGTATTTAGTTAGGGATTTGCATGCTAAGTTTTGCAAGAGAAGCAAACATGGCTACATCAGTATCAGCGGTTCTGATGCGGAAGCAGCGAAGAAAAATACGCTACCATGGAACTGAGCCGACGCTGGGGATGCCGTACAGCAGTGTTCGATCGTGTTTGAGCCCCTGGTTCTGTCGCAGGGCACCATTCCCTCAAAGCTTACGGGTGCGTCTGATCACCAGCTTGCCTCACGGACACATGTCGTGATCAACCCAGGCCTCTGCTTGTTCAGCACGGGCTCTCTCCTCATGCTGAGCATCGGTCAGCTCGCTGCCTTGAGCAAGCCGCAATATCGTGTTGCTCTCATTGGTCCATAGGGCAGTCCTATGGGCTTCAAAAACCGGTGTGTTTGCTATGGGGTCTTTTATTTTGGCATCCTTGCAGCCTACTCCAAGGGTGCCGTCAAGTAAAAACACCCACATCACTTTCCTTCTCGCATTCTAGCATTGTCTGTCATCTCAAATCATCTCGGCCCCAAGCTTGGCTCTCTACTTTTCTTAGTTTGATGCTGGCGCCTCAAAAACCCACAAATTGGGTTCACCTGTTAGACGTACCGAGCTGGCACCCGCTCGTGGACATGGCGACGGGCGAACTAAGCCACTGGCGCAGGACCAGCCTGGATCATGTCATGTCGCTGCGCGAGGGAGCGGAAAATGAAGCGGGCGGGGTTTCGGGCTCGGGTTGGTAGATTTGGGCATGCCACTTGCACCCCTTGCCCACATCGAAACATTCAAAAGCCACACGCATTGCTAGGGAACGCATTGCAGTGCCCAATTCACCCGCTCGGAGCGTCCATTTGCCAACCTGGGCCGGGCCCGCCGATCCCGCTCCACGCGCTCGCCGGACGCCGCCAGCTGCTTGATGCGCCGCTCCGCTTCGCCGCGCCAGCCAGCCTCGCGAAAGAGGGCGCGGCCAGCGGGGCATCTGTGTGGCAACCCCCCCCCCCCAAACGAAAATGGGCGTGGCGTGTTGTTGGTTCACTTTAAAGCCACCCTGAGACTGGGACGCCACGCTCACAAAGGACACCAAACAGGGAAGGACCCTCCCGCCCAGAATCCAAACAAGCCCTGAGCCAAGACTGTTGCGTGACGCCCTGCATCCCTTGCCACCTGCCACCCCCAAAGCCAACCTTGTCAGCCGACAGGGCCGTTTGCGGCCAGTGTCCATTTTCCTGTTCCTGGGTAAGCCCAAAATCCGCCGACCCTCTGCCTCCCGTCCCAGCCTCCTGCAGAGGGGACCGGCGTGGGATGCAACTGGAAGTGATTGGAATCAATGATAGTCCCTGGGGAGCACGCCCGAACCCACAAAAAGTGGATTCCCAGGACCGGTCCCGGGACCGGTCCCGGGACCGGTCCTGGGACCAGTCCTGGGACCAGTCCTGGGACCGGTCCTGGGACTGGTCCTGGGACCCTGCTTCTGCTGTTTCAGATTACTTGCAGTCAGCCAAAACCGGTCCCGGGACCGGTCCCCGGGAGCAGTCCCGGGACCAGTCCTGGGACCAGTCCTGGGACTGGTCCCAGGACCAATCCCAGGACCGGGGTTTGGTCCTGGGACTGGTCCTGGGACTGGTCCCAGGACCGGTCCCAGGACTTCCGGGACCCAGGTCCTGGGACCAGTCTGGGAAGCTGGTCCCGGGATTGAGTCCTGGTGTGACTGCTGGTACTTCAAATTGTTGTGGTGCGACCTTTCCGGACTGGCACCCAGGACGCTGGACAGGGTCCCAGGTCGTCACTGACTGCGACCAGTTGAGGGGGACCAACAGCCTTGTTTCTAGGACCAGCTCAACGTGACTTCGGCACAAACCGGCCCGTGCGGTTATTGACGGAGCTGTCATCTGTCTGACTTTTCCGTTAATCCTTGTGGTAGTAGAGGATCCCTGGATCCATTCTGCAAGAGAGTCCAAGACGTCGAGTCAAACCGCGCCAGACTGGGACCAGCCTGGATAGGGTCCCAAGTCCCGGTCCCTGCCGGCGACCGGTCCAGGGCAACTTCGGGAGGGCCAGTTTCAGGGCGACCCCGGGAGAGGCGCCAACTCGAAGTGACTTGGGCGCAAGCCGGCCCAAGCGGTAATTAACGGACTAGCTGCCCTATTTCTGACTTTTCCGTTAATCCTTGTTTGTGGTCGTAGAGGATCTTCTAAGTGGTCCCCGGGTTTGCGGACGTGTTTCAGGACCGGTCCTTGTGACTTTTCCCTTAATGCGCCGAGGGTCGGCGGCAGCAGGCGGGAGCCTGGTTAATATCATCATTGCTTCGACAAACAACCACCGCAACACTTAAGATCGGGTGTGTCCATTTTGTCCAGGCACTCTTCTCACCAAGGAAAACCAACAGGAAAGCCACCGTTTTGGGATGCTCTAAAGGAAACCGACCCGCATTTTGGGGTCCCAGTTCCCCTACACATACCTCTAAGGGTAGCTTCCCCATTCTTTCCAGGGATCCTTCTTTTCAGGAAACCATCAAAAACCCAGGGGAAACAGATGGGTTTTTTTTAAAGAACGATGGTTGAGCAGAATGGGGAATCAACCCCTACACATACCTGGCGCTTCTCCGCCTGCTCGGCACAGCGGCGCTCCAGCACCTCGCAGCGGCGCTCGAAACCCTGCAGCTCCAGGCCCTGCAGCTCCCGCTGCGACCTCGCGTCGCCGCTTCGGCTCGCTTGCGGCAAGTGCGGGGCCTGAAAACCCGGCCATGGGTCAAAAGCCCATACCGAACATCCCAATCCAACCGCTAAAATAGACTAAAATGGGTGGTGCACCTATCCCAAAAAATGGTACCATTGCTTTTGAACCATGGCCACCCGGGATTTGGATTTTGGGGGTGTCGTTTTGCGAGGGTACCCCATTTTGGGGGTGGCTTTGAAAGGGAAAACAAGCGGAAAGCCGCCAATTTGCAGGGTTCCCAATTTTGAGACACGCCCATTTGGTGTACATGTGAATTACGGACCTGCTAGTGGACATCACTAGGGGGGGAAGGCTGTTCCCCCCTTTGTGGGCTCGTGTTCAGCTTCTTTCAGGACGGCTCAACTGCCTGCGTTTCTGCCAAAATTAGAAACCACCTCTGGCTCATGGCCTCCCAGGCAATCTCACTCGTTTAACACCCACCTGTCGATTCCCTTTCTGGTCCATGTTTAATCAAAGTCTCAAGAGCGGTTGGCCCTTGTTTGTCCAAGTAGTTCGGGGAAGCCACAAAAGACAGATCCGTCCCGTTGGTGCGAGGCACGGGACAAAATACACAAAAACGCGCAGAGCAGAACGCACACCAGCGAAGAGCTGTGGCATCGTTTTCATTGACAACCGCCTCGCCCCATCCGGCGCTTGCCCTGGGGCTCTTGCCGCGGCGACAAAAGGCTGTCCAGCACCTCTGGCAGCGGCCGGTCTTGAAGCTGAGGGCGGAATGGACTTTGTGGTGAACAGATTTGGCTGTGGCTCAAAACATGGTGCCCAAAATGGCACGTTGGTAAATGGAAGCAAACCCTGGCTCTTAATTTTGAGCCGCACCCATTTCTGTCCAACATGGTCCAACCATTTTTGAGAGGTCCCTTCTTAGAATTTGCCAAAAGCCAAAATCGCCCATCGCAGATGGGGTCCCCCGCCTCCTGCCCCCTAGTCCAGCGAGCAAAGGACCAGAAGAGCCGGCGAGCCACGCTCCGCTGCAGGCTGATGGCCTTGGGCTGCTCCCCAAGCGAGTGGGCAGCCTTCGCTTGGCTGAGCTCAGCCAAGAATCCACACCCTCTATGTTTTCACAGCGATATGGCCATGGGTCAAAAGCCCGGTACCCCCACTGAACATCCCAATCCAACCACTAAAATAGTCTCAAATGCGTGGTGCACCTACCCCAAGATGGTACCATTGGTTTTGACCCACGGCCATATCTCATGAAACCTATTAACAATTTGCTTGACGCCATCCTCAATGCAAAAGGGGTTCTATTTTGGACAGGCCTTGAGCCAGCCGCCCAAAAGCCATCGCTTTGAGCAAAAACGCCCGACTCAGGCCACTACCAGTTGGGCAGCCCCGGCGCATTGCCTTGGACGGGTCGCCAATCGATGGGTTTGCATCCATGCCAACCCTGCCCTTGTGCAACCCTCTTTAGTGTATTGTGTTTCATGCAGTCCCTTTATACAGTCATGGAAGTAGTCAAGGACCTTTCGTCAGCCTGTTCCCCCTCATTGCAAAATATGGCCATTTTTTTAGGAACCCGATGGAAAGTTGGTGGGCAGAAATCACCACCTAAACTGAACCAAAACGTCCCCAACTGAACTTCATACCCACATGTCAACAGTCGAGATCTCTTTCGCGCCAAGTGGGCCCCTGACATCCTTGGCGCGCTGGCTTCAGCCGCGCACACGCTGCTGGCACCTTAGGCTGGCAAGTGGTGTAGTCAGCGACACCAAGACCCAGCGGAATATGGATTTTGTCTCTAAACAGGATGGCTCTCTTCCCTTTGATTTTCCTTTAAGCCAAGCCCGAACAGTGTAGCCTCAAAAACGCCCATATATACATATGTATATATATATATACTCAAACTGGCTGGCAAGCCAATGTGCTGTTTTGCTGCATTGTGATGGCAAACAGAGCAAAATCATCAATGGCCACTGAATGCGCACCAACGCACATTCTGTTTGCAAAGTGTTGTGGACCTTGTCGTCCCAAACAAAAAGCACAGAATCAATGAGTCTGACAAGCAGCACCCTACAGCAAGGGCATGATGACAACTTCAGCGAACCATAGCGGGCCCACGCCAGCAAAACAATCAGTGCGCCAAGACAGTCCCAAGCATCGAACGTCCAAACATTGCTGCCTGCTGGAATTACACGGCCAAACAAATTTAATTTAACAGCTATTCTGGCATCACACGATTCTCCTTGCGCAAAGGCAATGGCCCATGTCTGTGATGCGCCCCCCTGTCTTGATGCTGAACAAAACAACTGTTGTACTTTTCCGCACATCGGGGATCGTTCAGGAAAACACCTGGAAGCGTTTGAAGCGGGGGCGCTCAAGAACTCCTGGTAGTTCTTAGCCTCCCATTTAAAAGCAAACTTGGATACCCCAAGCTCCTTGGCTCCCTTCCAACCACCAGCTAGTCAACAACAAACACCCAGAATGTCGAAGCCCCACAAAACCAGGCGCGGCGCTACTCCTCTGGCCGCTCTCCAGCAGCACGCTGGGGATCTCCGTGGAGATCTCCAAACGGGCCCATGTTTTCCCAAGGCAGGGTGAAGTAAACATTATATGAGGAGAGGATTGCTCTAATACTTGGAGGGTGGTCGGATTTTCCCGCAACCCTCATATCTCCCCTTTGTTGGGGAATTAACCGAATCCTTAGAGGCACTTAAGGAATGAGCTTCCTTTCTGCGGGATGATTGCATTAATTTGAGGAAGCCTGCAACGAGGCGAAAGCACTTCATCTTGGTCATCCAAAGCCAGTTTACCCTGGTGTGGCCTAGCTCAACGTTTAGAACATTGCCAGCAAACAAGGGCCCACCGGTCTTCCCTGTACCTGAAGTCCTGCCACGGCAATTAAAGCCACGGCTCACTTGCATCAGCTTGTCCAAACTCTTACTGGAAAGAAGGGTGAAAAGCAACAACGCTGTCAATTGGTATATAAAGCATTCTCCGGAAAAGGGACACCGCTCTAAAGGTGTCGAGTTCTTCCAAGCAAACTGACATAGGAATTTGGCAAGTACAAACACATCTCCTATTTTGTGTGAACGTGCCAAATGTCATCCCCTTCACTAGCGGAGATATTGACCGTTGCTCATTTGCTTTGTGACTCGGCCTCACTCATGCTGGCATTCAACCGGCGGTCCGAGCCCGGCATCCGCGGCAACGGACCTGACGAGCGGTCAGGATTGTTTGGATGTAGTTGGTTCAGCGTCTTGGCGGCTTGGCGGCTTGGTGGCTTAGTTTTTTGGTGGTCTCTTTTGTGAGATGTCCAAAATGTTCAGCAATGTAGGCGGCTCCACTTCAGGGGAGTAAAGGGCCCCAAACAAAATGGGGGTCAATACAGAAAACCTAAACACTGGGGGTCAGCGCTGGACCTTTCAAGTGGTCGCCTAATAAGCACTGCGTATTTCTTTGCGTATTGGTTTAGTATGTCTATCAACTAGTACTGGTTCACTGGTTCAGTATTGGTAGTACTGGCTTGGTATTGGTGTAGTGTTGCTCTTGTCGGAGCTGGGGATCACAGTAATCCTCCCTACCCCTGGACTGCCAGCGATCTTTTGTGTCCTCCCCAAAAGCTGTCAGTATTCCTTACCTTATTTCTTTTCAGACAAGATAATAACTTTGGAAAGCAAATGTATAGCCTGCCAATGTACTAATTATTAATCAAGCGCTACCTGGCATCATGCCTCATTGTTGATGAGTTGATGTTGGAACCTCCAATGGCCTATGGCGGGCCCTGCTAGAAAACCACCATGGGGGGGGGCTTTGGTGTTTGATCAAAACCAACCCCCTGCCACCCGCAACGACAAGTCCCAAACATTGGTTACAGGTGAATGAGCAACGTTCAACAATCATCTGCGGTACCAACACTGTGCGGAGGGGGAACACAAGCAGCACCTGCATCCGCCCAGCCATGCATCAAGAGGTGCCAAACACAACCGGAAGCATTGGACAACTCACCCGCCGCACTCTCCAAGTGACATTCCCGCGTCTTTATGTGTGTTTGTTGCAGGTTGCCATGGTCGCATCGTACATTTCCTGAAGGGGCATTCCCGTGCAGAAACTTCGCTCGCGGACTTCAGCGCCATCTCAGCGGCGGGCGCGGGCTGGGATCCCAGGACGGCGGCGGCCGACCTCTCAACCTGCCTGGCCCGAGCGCCGGAAACCCTCTCAAGGCCTCAAGGCTGCATCAGCCCGAAAGCAAACCGCTTTCGACCAGCGCTTTGACAAATACGGCGGAAAACCAAGTCCTTTTTGCTGGCTGAGAGGTTTCCAGTACTGAGTCAGGGTTGGTTTTTCTATCCAGGTTTTTTTTCCTATCCGGTAGTTTTCCGCCCCTTCCCCAACTTTCCGATTCTTGGGCCCATCGAGTGACTTCAAACATGTCAAACAAATGTGATGATGTTCATCCCAGTGCTACAAAGTCCAAGTTGCATTTCTTCCTACCAGGTGCGCGTCACCACCTAAGGCAGTTTGTGATCAAACCTGTGATCAAGCCATATAACAGCGCTTGCCCAACCGTCTGGTTCATCCCCAATCCTTGCGGACCCTGTTTTTCAACCAACCTTTTTTGGGCTGCCATAGACTAACAGGTAAAATGGAGCTGCAAAACCGGTTTGCGGGGGTTGGGCCAAAACCAAAACCGTGTCTCGGCCTTCTGCGTGCTTGACAGGTGTAGAGAAGACTGGATCGGGCCTCGGCGCGTGCAATTCGAACTCTCTCCTAAATAACGTAAGGCAGAAACAAAACTGGTTGACTTCATTTCTTGAGCAACTCCCGGCTCAACCAACATTTTGGCAGGCTTCGGTCTTATCTTTGCACCTTGCAAAGACACACCACAAGCATGCGGAAAAAATTGGAAGGGCACAACCACCAATGCCGGAAGTTTCAGCAGCGTCTTGCCCGAGGGTCCACATTTGGAGTCAGCAGCCCAACCAGGTAGCGACCATGAAAGACCTAATGGCTCAACACCAAGCGTCTTAGACCAATTGCATAATCATGGTTGACAAGCAGCGAATTGAACTATTCAACAATAAAAGGCCCTCTGGAACGCCCTCCGAACGTTCTTGGGCTTCCATCGAACACTTCCCGGTAAATATGCACGCATTTTCCGCGGGGCCAAGTTCCCACCCAACTCATTGGCTCCAGCAAAACCTCCACACCAGCCATCAAAACGAACCGAAAGTGATGTAACATCAAACAAAAACAACGGCAACATGTAAAATAACATCAAAACCTGAACTACGCCATCTTCAAAGTAAAGGACCTTCATAGCGAGCCTCGGCGCGAGCCTAGGTTTCCCCGGCAAAGGGCGAACATCCGGGGCCGCTCTTCGCAGCCACAGCCGGTGGAGCGCAAAGCCCAGCTGCCGCTCCACCAAATGTTTTAGAACCTCGCCATGCTGAGGGGAAAAACTGGGGCTGCGGGTCAAGAAATCGTACTTAAAATGGAACCCTGGTAAATGGAACCAAGGACTAAAGCCTGCGATCCCGTCGTAATTTATTTTGGCCCATACTGAGCTAGGGTTGTTGGTTCCACCACCATGGGTGTGAGGATTCATCCCATTCCATCAGGTGGAATCCTCTACAAAAAAAGAAAACCCGGAGTCCTTTTCCCACTTGCCTTGATTGACATGCTCGGTATCTAGGAGGAGTCGTGCACTTTCATGGGGGGCCATGTTTCCCCAATATGATGTTAGCAACACAGACTTAAGGGCCACACGTGCCAAAAAATAAGGACTCGGTGTGAGGCGCGTTCAAAAGCGTTGAGCGAAACAACTCTAAATTGGGAAGCGTGGAACAATGTGGGACATCTATAAACAACAGAGTGGGGTGCTGCTGCCAATGCGTGTCAAACCCGCCGTTCGCTTGTTGGTTGGCAGAATTCGTACTCAGTGCGGAAACACAACAGTAAACAGCTATAGCCAAATGCGCAATACCACCAGGTCTTTGCAATGGGATTGGTGAGGCCGCCCCGAACCCTCAGGTTCCTCCTGAGGCTCCCAAAAGAAGTCTTCTGCTGACCATGATTCGAGGCCGCCACACTCCGAAGAAGGCTGCCAGCATGGCGCGCTCGCCCGACGGTGAGCCTCCCGGCATTGCACTCAAAATAGACAAAACTGCGGCGACCAGCCATCCAGCTGTAAGTCCAATGTGGTGAACAAAAGTCTGTAGTCAGTAGGTTGCATTGCTATCAAATGGAATGTAGTTCGGGGCCCTGGGCATGTTCGAAATGATGTTTGATTGTAGCCTCGCAGATTCCTGTTTGTAGTACGATTGAAGAAATCCAATCGAGTTGAGACCGGGGTGCAACCAACTTGCGAAAACGCGCAGTACGTTTTCGCATACCCCGCCTGTTCCTGGCTCGCAGCAGGGCCCGCTCGGCGCAAAGCCTGACGCGAGTGTTGAGAGTTCACGCATGAATTATCTCGGGTGATGAATTCGCTATAAAGAACTGTTTTGGGTTTTGCTTACAATGGCGGCCTCCCAGTATATTCGTGTTCTGTGGATTGGAATGTGCTGAACAAAGCGGAACAAGAAAGTTCTGCAAACAAAAAAAAAAAAATGGAATGCCTGAGCAAAAACAACGCAACCAAGTTTTGCTGAGGCCTGAGTCGGTTGAACCCGAAATGTCCATCTGCAAACGGCCAAACTGTAAAGCACATTGTTCCCAACTACTGGATACGGGAGCTATGTCCACCAACTGTGGTTTTGATTCACCTTAGCGTCACGCCAATCCAACCCCCAAAATTAAACCATTTGTGCTGTCGGAGCAGCTGCTGCACGTGGTTGGCCCAGGCACGCAGGCAGCACACGGCCCGGTAGTGGCGAGCACTGGAACGGGCTGAGTTTAGCACCTCGAGCGTCCAATGACAATTTAATTTTGGGGGAAGTGGATGAAGGGTCCCTTACTTGGCTATTTCTCTGTTTGGGAGTCTTTGTGAGTTGCAGTTGGGTGAAAGTAACGGCACAATTCCAGTTCATCCTGGTTGAGTCATTCCCTGTATTTTGCCCACAAAGGAAGTGTGCCATCTAGGTTCACCCATCCCAAGGTAGACTCAAACTAAGGGGTGGTTGATTTCCCCAAACGCCAACCAGAGCTTTAAATCCTCCTTAGGGTAACCAACAAATTGAACCCTAGGTGTCGGAGCCTTCGCAATTGAGAGTAGTGGCTGAGTTTGACGGTTGTTTTCAAGTGACATCAAAGGGTAACCATGTAATTTAAAACACACCCAAGTGCGACCTTGTGACCTGTCTGTCTACGGCGTCTTGCTGCGGTTCCCAGGCCAAATTAAGCGGCAGACTACGCGCTGCTTTGCCGCAGTGCTCTCCTCAAACTCCAGCTGTTCGTCTTTCTGACGCAACCTTGGGCAAAGCAGGCTTGGAAAACATATTGATGCATATTGCCCATCAAATGAGAAACAATCTTAAACATGTGGTTCCCCATGAAAACGCGTTCCTGTAAGAAACCCATCCAAATCAGCCTTCGTTTTCAGAACAGCACCGACAATGCCACTGATTTCCCAACAACGTCAACCGAAATAATCAGTGAGGATCGGCCCGAAAACACCTAGGGCACATGTTAATGTTTTACATGCCATGTTCAGGAACCGACTCTCCGTGTTTTTGTTTGTATTTGTGTGGGACGTCAACAAGACCTTCCAACAACACATTTGACAATATGGGGATTGTTCCTTAAGGTACTGAATTGTTCTTGGAAACCAAAGGAAAACTGAGGATTCCCAGTTCCCATACATTTGAAGCAGACCCAAACAAACCAACAACGAAACACACCAACCCCAGAATCCCACAAACCCAACAAATCCCGTCTCAAAACCCACCCCATGTCAGATCCAGGGCTGCGGCAGCTGCAGCAGTTCCCATCGCTCCCAATCCCGGGCGGCCGCCTGCGGATGCAATGTGCACTGGGGGGTTCGTCCCTTGCAAAACATAATAAATGTCCCAAAAACGGCGGCGCTGGCAATCATATAAAATCTGCCGCATGAGACCCTGGCTGACAAAATGCGTTCGGCGTCCGATTTGCAAAGAGCCATTTGGGAACTTTCGCCAGCTGCCTGCTGGCCCAGTTGCTCGGAACGGCGGGTCTGCTGCAAGAGCAGTTCCTCCCGGGATATACGCACGCTTGGCAGCAGCACTCATTCATGCCCACTCCACGCACAGTGCATCCATGTGTTTCAAGTGAACACCCCATCAAACCCGCCAATCCCTGTTGCTGATCCTGCCTTGAGCAGCTGAACTTGGGAGTTTTCAGCGTCCTCCAATGCGGAACTTGTTTCTGCCAGCACACCAACAGGATTGTTCTGAATGTCGACATCCAACGTCGGCAAATCAGTGGTCCTCTGCTTGCGCCGCAGACATTTAGCCAAGGCATGGCCGGGCGGGCCATGTTCAGCTGCGAGCCAAGAATATCCAAAGATGTAGAATTTATGGCTGCCCTGCCCCCCCCGAACGGCTGGTTTATGTTCAATCAGTTGCCAAAGAATCCAATTTGTGCTGTTGATTTCCCACATAATAAGTGACGCTTCAAACCTTTGGACAACTGCGCGTGTTTTCAACCGCTGTCCCACGCCCAGGACGTTTGCCCCAAAGCGAAGACTCGCTTGCATTAACACAGCACTGCGATTGCCTCGTGCGTTTTGCACAAGTTTGCAGCGTGTCGCAACTTTACACAAATTGAACCATGGTCAAATTAATGCCGATTGCGGAGCATGGGGCCGTTTTTGAGCTCCAGAGTCAGGAACTTGTTGACGGTACCCAGCTGACCTCTTTTGACCATGGTGCACAATGTGTTCAATTCAATACGCACGCACGGAACTGAACCATCATCTGGACTCCAGATTTGCAACTGCCGCGAAGTAGGCCCTGATGTCGTCATCGGTTTGTTGATGACCTTTGCGACGGCTGCACTTTGTGGAACGCCAACCCCCACTCCCAGCCTGTCAGTGCTTCAGTGGGAGCTGCGGCAGCACTTGAAGGCATGTGGGGCGAAGGTGCTGCTTGTCTGCCTGGCCACTCAAAGCATCGCTTGTGGGGACTCCATGCGCATCCATGTGTTCAAGCATGTCTTTCTCAAACGCTCTCAGCACATGCAATTCTGGGAAAGTCCAGCCTGTCAACACTTCAGGAGGTGCTGCTTGTCTTTCTGGAGATGATTGAGGCGAAGGAGCCATATCTCTACCTGCCAGGCAGTCGACGAGCACCCTTTCAAGCCAACGCAAAATCCTTGATCAGATTCGCGTGCGTCTGTTGCTAGCGGACAGCAGCAACGGGAAAACGCTCATGTTAACATTCCCGTGAGCGCGCAGGTGTCTGACATGTTCGGTGTGACCTCTCTCTTGGCGTGCGCACAGGAAACTTCGTGTCTGCGACGCAAATGGCGGAAGTGCTCAGTGCCTCGGATTCCTTGTCTAGGCGCCGAAGCCGAGTTGCTCCTCAACATATTGGCTTCGCGTCAGGCTCCCAGCGAGGGTGTCATGTTGACAGCCAGCGCCCCTCTTCCGGGTTCAGACGTTGTATGAATTCTGTGATGTATTTTGAAAGCATCCCACGCACTCAAGCTTCAGAAACATTGGGGAACAAGAACTCAGCAGGGGTGCAGGCTGCCGCTGGGCAAGAGCCCGCCCAAAGGGTGTTCAGTCCTCGGGTTTGGCTCCACCTCTTCCCTGCGTGGAGAAGTGGCCGACGCCGGCCTGAAAAAAGAGTGTGGGCCAACAAAGTGCACAAATTTGCTTCTTGTGTTTCTGTTTCTTGGAAATAACTTCAACGTTATTGAGGCAAAGGACAAGAACGACCAGAAGTCCCGATCCGCAAAATCCGCCTTCGGCGAATCCCAAGCCAGTCAGCTCGCGCCTGGGCTCCGCCGCCGGCAGGGTGGCCGCGGGCACCTGCACCTGCGCCTGCCCCCCTGCGCGAATGCGAGCGTGGATGCCAAGAAGGCGATTGCCTACAGCCCCAGGAACCGAGCCCTGCAACTCTGCAAGGGTTGCCCACACACTGCAATTCACCCACCCACTGATGCCTCCAAACAATGTGCGACTTTCCAGTCCAAATTGGGACCCCCCACCCCCCCCCCTTGCCCACGGTATGGTCTTCGACCCAAAGCTATGTGCTTCGGCGCCTGGGTCGCCCGCCTGGTGAGCCTGGCCGCGCTCAACACCAGGTGTTCGAGTTTCCCAAATCATGGAAAACCTTGCTGGTGCTCAGCGGGGAATGAGGGAATGACCCTCATAAACCATCCTTTGTGCCCTGGGTTCATGCCCCCCATTCCCTGCTGAGCACCAGCAAGAAACTTACGGTTCGAGTCAATGTGACCAAACTACAAAACCAGAACCCCAACTTGACCATAGACTACTGGAATTTTGATCGACCACATGGCACGGCCGGGCGCTTCTGGCTGAGGTGTGCATGCAACGTAGCCAGCCATACGTTACATCGGCAAAACACGTGTCCAAACCCAAGCCGGACGCCCTGTCTGACGGAAACTCATGCCACACCTCCCACCCCGCATCGCGCCTGAAGCGACAAATACCAGGCCTGAAGAGCAACGGTCGCAGTAAGCTGTGAAGATTTGGAGTGATTGCCCCAAATTGCAGCGTGTGACTCACGTTCGAACCGTGCAGCATGGGCCACCAAACAGCTAACAACTCGCATGCTTTGGCAACCCTACTGCAGCTGAACCAAGCTGGATTTCCACGTCTCTAGAATCACAGAGCTCCCCTTAGCATACGAGTGACCCCAAAATTGGTGGGTTACCTCCAACTGTCCTTAAAAGAAACACAAAAGGATAGCCTCAAAAGAGACGCGCCCAAACTCGTACTTGTGGCGAAGACCCTGGAGCAACACCCAAAAGAACAGATGACTGAGGTGGTACGCACTACTTACTTCCAGTTCTAAGGCAGTGAGTCAAGCTCATAAAGCCGAACCAAGAAGCCATCAAACTGGCCATTTCTTGACCTAACCAAATTGCATGTTGCAAGGTGATTTGTCTTCACGCATCGGGTCATTCAATGAATGATCCGATGTGGAGATAGTGGAAGGTGCGAGGGTGAGCAACAGTATTGCTGCAGCTGCCATCTGGAAATTGCCAACTTTTTCATGCAACTGGAGCAAGACATGACGCTGATTACGCTGGCGAGTGGCTGACGCAAACAACGAATGGGCCTGGAGCCGCAATGCCTCATTTTGTGCTGCGGAGCTCTCGCCCCAAGCCCTTCGCAGCGCGCTGGGGTCAGGGTGACTAATAACTTCCCGCCCAGGAGGAGGGGCGCCTCGAAGTCCCGCTGCAGCCGCTCCTGGCATCCAGAAATCCCGCTGGCCATGGGATCCAATTCGATGCTTAACACAGTCGCAGGGGAGGTCCTGGTCGAAACTCCAACCAAGCAGTCCAACCAAACTCGATACACAGCCATACCCCTCCCTAGTTGCGCGGGTGCGGGGAGTCTGTATTGTCAAGTTTCTTTTGTGCCTGAGGTTGACCTGATATTGCCCCGTGGTAGTAAGTGCTTTTGGGGGGCTCGTCCCAACAAGGGCTCATTTGAACATCAGGGTGCCCAGCATCACTTCTTCTGAATAGCAGTGCCGAGTCACGTCCACCACAAAACGCGTTTGCAGCCAGTTTGCATCCACTCAAAGACTTGGAACTCGGCAGTGGAAAGCCCGAAGGATATCTCCAGATTTTGTGCACAACTAAGTATATTATTGACCCCATATTAATCAACCCCAGTCTATGCTCCCCTCCAACAGTAACTACTCTCAATAAACTGGGGTTGATTAATGTGGGGTCAACTTTACCTGAAAACAAAGCTCCACCCAAAACGACATGCCAAGCATCCGGCTTCGGAGCGACGATTGAACACAACCATGCAGCACCGTCCTTGTTCTCTTGTGCTGCAGCCCTGTATCTGTCAATCTCTGCTTTCACCTGAGTATCCCAACGACACTCCCAGATCATGCGCCCATGCTGTTGCCTAGAACCTAAACTCTCTCCAATTGCGCAGTTCAACTGCGGGTCCCGACCTGAATTTCCAAAGTCAACCTTCAGTCAACTAAACCACCAGAAACCACAACAGCCTTTTTAAGGTTTTCAACATCTCTCCCTCCCAGGGAAAACTGACTGAACATGGGCATAAAAGGCAACCCCTTAGATAAATAGTCTTGTTAAGGTGCTGGGCGTTGGCCTTCAGGAACCGGGGCCACAGCCACCTTCAGCCTCTCCATGCTGCTCTTGTAAGTGGCGATCTTCTCCTGACCCAAATCTGCCGGTGGACCCCCAAAAAAAAATGCAAACCGGGAACAGGGCACACGTTGTTCCTTTGCCATGGTAAGGAAAAGCTGGTTTTGCTTGCAAAATGAAGGGCTTGTGATGGCTTGTGGTTGCTTTACTTGCCAAATGTAGGGAATCCAAAGGCCCTCTGCGAAAACGTAAATTCCGAAACCTGAAATGAGGGACCTTCCAGTAGGGTTCCTTCGCAAGCAAGCTCGGGCCCTCGGTGAGCATACCTCATGAAGGAAGGAGGCCGAGGGTTCTCGGTGTCAATTGCCCGGAGCTACCAACCAAAGGAACAATCTAGAGGAGGCTCCCTTCAGAAGACCTTTTGGGTTCTTTTTTGCCGGGGAGCAGGCAGGTTTCTATGGCTGCAAGGAAGTTGGGGATAACCCCCGTTCACCTCGACTAGACAGCTTCAACATGTGGAAGGGACCGCCCAAAGTCTCGATCCCGCCTCCATCTCGCGGGAGAGGCCGGCCACCTGGCTGAGGACCCACTGTACAAAGGCCCAAGCTGGTTGCCCTCAAACCAACTGGGGTAACATGGCAAGGACCACTTGTTCGGGAGCCAGCAAAAGGGGGTCTCCGGGCTTTTACCATTTCCTCCGCAGCGGACCCTCTGGCTCTGGTATGTCTTCGGTGCCAGGCCAACAAAAGTGTGCCTCGGACCCTTAGTCGGCATCATTTACATAGGGGCCTAGGTCCACCCACCATTTTTGAGTCTGTTCCGCGTCCCCATCCACATTCATAGCCATGATTGGATGCCGCACTGCACCAAACGATTTAGCGCCAGGAGCCGAGCACCTCAAAGCAGGTGGCAAACGTGTTGCACAACCAGATCTCTACAAACGAACCACGAGCAACTCGTGCAGCAAGTGTCCCAGGCATGTCGCAGCCTCCTGTGTGTCAGGCAGTGGGGGCATCTCCTGGCAACAGGACAAGCAAGGCCCAAGTGTGTCACTGAGGGTTGGCTTCATGTTCAACACTGCCGGAAATGCCTTCCAAAACATGAAAAGTCTGCTTTGACCAACCTCAATCTGGACAAGGAGGTATAGAACAAGGGAGATGCCTTGGCATGCCGAATTGCCGATTCTTAACTTCATGTGAATCATGTGGTATGCCCATAAATTTGGGCTCTTGGTTTGTATGTCCTCTGGGGTGTGGCGTGGAACTCGTCACTTTCAGGTGGGACCCACTGTGACCAGAAACCAATTACCCCCAGCCTTGGCTCAGATGCACCGTGCTAAAGAAGCAAATGACCAACATGCCCATCAGACCACTGGCATGGAACCTCAAAGGTTCGACCCCAAAAGACACAAAGTCATCCGGAGTCATCCGGCCAAAGGCAGGAGAATCCCAAGAAGCGCCGGACTTCAACCAGTGCGACAGGCCCAACTGCTCCTTGGAAGAGGGGTCGTGCGGGCCACTGCCCATCGCGCGGCCAAGGCGGGCCTGGACCGATCAGACATGCCTGGTCCCTTCGGCCTCGTTTGCTTTCACGGGGGTTCGGGGGTCCCGCTACGTTGATTCTGCATGAGGCAGATTCATGAATCCAGCATCTCCATCTCCGACTTGCCTCTCTTACCCACGCTGACTAGATGCTCTGAGCAAACTTCCTTACATCACAGCCACGAATGCCGTGAAGACGTGTCACATTCATAAGTCACACAATCAACAGCTTCGCTCGCCTAAGCTTCTTGGCTTTACTATCGTGACATCTTTGGCAATTGCAACAAGGCATCCTGAAAAAAATTTTGCTTGCAGGAACTGCAGTCCATGTTTGTAGAAGGGGCCTGCGCGCGTTCAACCAAACAAAGGCGCGATAGCTGCTGAACGCAGGGGCGCTGTCACAATCGGGCCCGCCCCCCTTGGATACGCGAGGGCGACACCGGCTGCACGCCATTCAGCTGTCACCCGGTCAGCCATGGAGAGCGAAGCGCTGCAGGTGCGCCCGGAAAGGCTGGCCAGCTTTCTCGCTTGCGCTGATGGTGGCGTTGAAGCTGATGCTGTCTGCTTGCAAGCTCGCAGCCAGCATGCACCCAAACAGGGCCAGCGCCTGCTGCCATTGGCCACCTCTCTCACAAGCATTGATGCTCACATTGAAGCTTATTTCATTTGGCGTCACTTCCAGTTCAGCCATGGACACAAACAGGGCCAATGCATGCTGCCACTTCCCAGCCTTTTCACAAGCACTCATTGTTGCGGTGAAACTGATTACATCTGCTCGCACCTGTGCGTGGGGCATCAAACCAAACAGGGCCAGTGCGTGCTGCCACTGCTGGCGTTTCTCGCAAGCGTTGATGGTCACATTGAAACTGATCTCGTTGGCTTCAAGACTTGCTCCTGCCATGGACTCAAAAAGGGTGAGAGCCCGCTGCCACTTCCCTCCCTTCTCGCAAGCGCTAATGGTAGCACTGAAGCTGATAACATCTGCTTGCACCCGTCTTTCAGGCATCGCCCCAAACAGCGCCAGCGCCTGTTGCCACTGCCCACCTTTCTCGCAGGCACTGATGGTTGCATTGAGGCTGATCACGTTGGCATTCATACTTTCTTCATGCAAGGTGTGGAACAAGGCCAACGCCATCTCCCAATGCCCTCCTTTCTCAGAAGCACTGATGGCAGAACTGAAGCTGATCAAGTCGCGTTGAATGCGTGCCACCGGCATGGCGTGCAACACAGCCAGAGCCTGCTGCCACCTTCCAACTTTCTCGCAAGCGCTGATCGTTGAGTTGCAAATGACAAGGTCCGCTTGAACGCCTTTTTCCGGCAGGGCTTCAAACAGCAACAATGCCTGCTGCCACTGCCCGCCTTTTTCGTAAGCGCTGATGGCGGCACTGGAACTGATAGCATCCGCTCGCACCTGAGCCTCGGTCATTGTTTGGAATAGGTCCAGCGCCTGTTGCCAGTGCCCATCTTTTCCACAAGCGCTAACAACGGCACCCAAGCTGACTTGATTTGCTTGCACCTGTGCTTCGCATAAGTATCCAAATAGGAGGAGCGCGCGCTGCCACTGCCCCCCTTTGTCACAAGCGCTAACAGCGGCGTTGAAGGCAACTACATCTGCCTGCACTTTTGCTGCCTCCATGGTCTGGAGGAGGGCCAACGCTTGCTGCCACTGCCCGGCTCTCCCGCAAGCGCTAATTGCAGCACTGAAGCTAATCACGCTGGCTTGCACCCTTGCCTCTCGCATGGCTCCAAATAAGGCCACAGCATGCTGCCACTGCCCACCCTTCTCGCAAGCACTGATGGTTGCATTGAAACTGATGACATTGGGCTCAAGCTTTGACTCGGGCATGGCCTGAAACAGGGCCAGCGCCTGCTGCCACTGCCCAACTCTCTCCCACGAGCTAATCGCAGCATGGAAGCTGATTGTGTCTGCTTGCGTTCTTGTTTCGTCCATGGACTCGAACAGGACAAGCGCATGCTGCCACCGACCACTTTTAGTGCAAGCGCTGATGGTGGCACTGAGACTGATCGCATGCACTTGCACCAAGGATTCAAGCATAGATCCAAAAAGGGTCAGCGCCTGCTGCCACTGCCTGCCGCGTTGGCAAGAGCCAATGGCTGCACTAAAGCTAAAGTTGTTCGCTTGCACCCTTGCTTCCGGCATTGCTTCCAAAAGCAAGCAAGAATCTTGCCAAGCATTAAACTCCGAACAGATTGATATTGCGGAGCTGAAATCTCTGACGTCCAGCTGCACCTTACGCTCTACATACAACTGGAGTGCGATGGGTACAACGTCTGCGCGCCTGTCTTCAGCCAGCCTGGCCAGCATCTGCCTTGCAGGAACCGTTTGCCAGCCAGGCACCATCAAACTAGCCTGCACCGCTTGCACTGACGGGCGCCTGTCCAGTTTGCAAAGTGTGGACCAGTCGGGCTGGATCACACCGTGTCCTTTCTTAGCAGCCCTGCAGGGCCCATAGCCCATGTTCTTCTTCCGACACGCCGTCGCCACTGCAACTGCCGAAGCCGTCTCTGATGACACCACAAGCCACTTGCCTTGTCTTGACGTCGACGATGCGCGCGGTGGCCCAGCATTGAAATGACAATCGTTGATATGCGTTCTGCGCGACAGGTCCATGGCGTGCTACACACTGCCCCTGTCAAGGCATGCCCTAAAGACAAAGCCATGCACGGGCACATGTCAATGAGCCAGGCAATCTGCCTGAAGCCAATGCAAGGCTGACCCATGGGACTACAAATCATCGGGTAAGTGACAGTCTGACACAAGCATTCCAACTCTGTCGGCATATGGGAGCGCCTCCTAGGATCAAAAAATGCATGCCTGGATGAAGAACTAGACAAGAAGCACGGCAAGCCAAGCTCGCGATGTTGCAATGGGCAGCTTGCGTATACCGGAATATCCCTGCATAATTCATAGTACGTGCGCTGACAGTGGCTCCCCCACATTGCCTTACTTTGAGACAAGGAAACTGCCCGGCGAAGGGCGCCGATATCGCGGCCCGCCATGCTCTTCCCATCCGTTGCACTACTAGGGGGTAGGGATTACACGTGGTCCAGTCTTGCCTGTGCCGACCCAGACGCGTTCCGCCTTCTCGATCTTCTTCTGTATGGCTTGCACCGACGTGCGGGCAGCCTCACGCCCAGCCCCAGCTCGGCTTCTCTGCAGAAACTGCAAAAACTACCTCTCTAAGACCGCCCTTCCAGGCAAAGACATTTCAAAGCCGCAAAAAGGGACCCTCAGCTTGACAGGCCTCGTGTTCATGTCCTCCTAGGGCAACTTCCGTGTGACTTTGCTCAGGCCAGAGCATTGGCCCGCTCGCCCACCTCCTGAGCTTCAGCCACCAGCTTCTTCATGGCTTCCCGGCCTGCGACGTCCCGCTCTGAACGATCGCATCAAAGGGAACCTAAGTTTGAGTTGACACCCATAGTTAAAGCCACCAAACGGCGAAATGTTGGGATCCGACCCCCTTTTGCAGCCCGACGCATCCGCCTTCGGCCGAACCCGTGTATCGGCCCTCCCCGGCCTTCGTCCAGAGTCTCACTCCGGCGCACGGACTTTCGGAAGGCGTCGAAGGCCTGGCGGAGGATTCAGCCAAGAGAAACCCACAAGGGACGAAACAAGCAACAGGCGCACAGGTCAAGGCACCCAATCACCAAGCCCTCGAGTTGGTCGCCCTGCAGGGTGCAAAGGGTCCTTCTTTTGGGACAGGGTGGGTGGGCACCATAAATCGATGATACCCATGAGAATCATGGATACCTTTAGCCCGAGCCTTGTTCCTGTCAAGCAGCAGCGCTGCAGAGTCAGGCTGTCCCTCGCCATCTCCTCGACTCCCAAATGTTGTCGGATATGTCACATGTCAACAAGTTGGGAGGCGCATGGAGGCTGAAAGCCCGCACATGTGCAATTTAACAATTGATGGAAACACGATGGGCCGAACCTTTAGCGCGATGCAGGTGCATCTATACCAGGTTCTGCTAGTTCGATACCTATCCTTGCGCGATATGATGCGATCGTGCGCCCACTAACAAACAATCTCTACTGCGAGTTGCAAGGCCAACCTGCCCATAGCTCAGCAGCACAAGGAAAATGCGTGGTTTTGAAATCCAGGGATATCGAACACACGACTAATGTGATCTCAGATCTCTCTCTCTCTTTCTCTCTCTCTCTCTCTCTCTTTCGCTTCCACTGGCCTTTTGGTAACTCTGAGCATCACCCAGCAGAACCGGGCAACACAGCACCAGGAGCACAGCCCTTTGCGAGAAAATAGAAGGATTGGGTCAGTGTCCAGGGTTCCCAGCCCCCCCCCCCCCCATGGTATGGTCCCCCCAGCCCCCCCCCCCCTCCCCGGCCTGCCCCCTGCCCCCCACGGCCCCAGGTCCCTCATTTCTCGTTTTGGGACCCCTCCGAACTCCAGCGTGGCTTTGTACTGCAATCCTGTCAACAACCACCCCCTGCCCGTCAACCATCCCTACCCTAAAAGTCCGCAGGACAACCTTAAGCTAGCCCTAAATCTAATTGACATGAAGCCTAAGATAATTAACTCAGAAAAAACCTACATGCTCAACCCAGCAAAGCCCCAAATGATCCCTAAACCCACTGTAAATCAGCCCCCGGCTATCCTAAGAAAACTAATAATCAGTTTAAATAACCCTAAGCAATGTCCTAAAATCCTGAGCTACAAGCCCGAAACTCAAAGGCTCAAAGGTAAGCTTGAGATACCCCAAAGGATCCTTAAATCCAAACTGAATCATCCCAAACCAACAGCGGTCAACCTTCAACGAAGCCTGACTTGCCCTCCAAACCAACACCCCACACCACAGAGAGGGATGGGGGGAACCATAACCACAGGGGGGGGAGGGGGGAACCATAACCACAAGGGGGCGGGGGCACCACACCCACAGGGGGGGTGGGGGGTACCATGACCATTGGTGGTGGGGGGGGGGGGCACGAGCCCTGACCCATATATGTTCCAGGCCGTGGACCCCCCCCCCCCCCCCCCTGTGGGGGTGGGGTGGGTGGGTGGTGGGGTGGTGGTGGGGTGGTGGGGTGGTGGGTGGTTGGGTGGTTGGGCCAACCCCCCCCCCCCTGTGGGGGGTGGGGTGGGTGGTGGGGTGGTGGGGTGGTGGGGTGGTGGGGTGGTGGGGTGGTGGGGTGGTGGGGTGGTGGGGTGGTGGGGTGGTGGGGTGGTGGGGTGGTGGGGTGGTTGGGTGGTTGGGTGGTTGGGTGGTTGGGTGGTTGGGTGGTTGGGTGGTTGGGTGGTTGGGTGGTTGGGTGGTTGGGTGGTTGGGGTGTGGTTCGGAGTTGGTTTGGGCTTGGTGGGTTGGTTTAGGGTTGGTTCAGGGTTGGTTCAGGGTTGGTTTGCGGTGGGTTTCGGGTGGGTTTGGGTTTTGGTTGATTTAGGCTTAGGGTTGGGGTTAAGGAGGGGTTGCAGGGTGGTTTGGTTTAGGGTAGGATGTTGCGAGAGGTGCGGGGGTGTTGGTTCACGGGGTGAAAGGGGGTCTGGGACCGAAGCTGCAGGGCTCGCACGGTACTGGACAGCATCCCCAGCATTGCCAGCATCATCCCCAAGATGCGGATGATGCGGGGGAGTGGGGGGACCATACCATTGGGGGGGGGGGGTACGTGGCCCAGGGACTGGTACATATATAGGCGTTGTTCTAGGTTCAAGTGCCTGTTCATGGTCAGTGGGTGCGGGACTTGTCTAGGGTTGCTTTGGAGTGAGGTAAAAACATTTTGGCACGGAAGTTCTAGGTGAGCTAATTCCGCCTGGGTTTGCGACTAGCCACCAGGCCAAACATGAGCCTCGTCAGTACGTTAAGTGGGGATTCGTTCTTGAACACGCATGAACATGCTCAACTCTGCTTTTCTCCCCATGCATTCTGTTCTAGCAACACATGGTTTCGCGGCCAGGCAGGACCTGCACTTGACCAACAAGCACACCAAAGAACAAGGAAACCGCAGGCGACGCTTCACTCATCTGGTTTGCCAACCCGTGACCTTTTCGAAGGAAACCCGCCAAGCCAATTGATTCTTGGGGTTCCGCGATTCCGCGCCTGTGCCAATGCACTCCGGAGACGGGCTGGCAGCAGAGCCACCTGCGCGGATCCGTAAGCCTCCTGAGCTCCTGAGGCCTTGGAGCCTTTGGCGTTTCCGAAAGCCGACCTGCTGCGGCCCCTTTCGCATGCAAACCCAACAGCTGCAAACGCGGAGGAAAAAGCCAAGCGCCCTCGCCACCCTGGCAATTTCTTACCTCCGACCCAACCTCCATTCGTCCCCCATGCTTGGGGGCGTGCCTGCGCTCTCACGCGGCTGCGGCGCTTCCGCGGGCCCGCGAGCTTGAATCAAAACAGGTCCTGCCTGCGCTGCCTGGCAGCGCAGCGCTGGTCAGCGCTGTGCAAAGCATGTTGTCATCACAGCCCGCGAAAAGATCTTGAGTGGCTCATGCCCTCCGGTTGATCAGCCTCGCCCGAGTGCACTACCTATCCCTCTCATGAACACGTCTTGTTTGCATCGGTTCGCCTCCTTGGCACTGTTGCCACCCCGCTTGCTCAATGAGCTGACCTGAGCAAATCGAATATCACACCGTGATGCATGAGTCACGGTGCGGGGGGTGGGGGGGCTCGCAGCTCGCTGTTCCATGTTGCTGGCGTCGCTTCCACCCTCCTGCCACTGTCACAGCCCCCCCCCCTCAAAGCAGCGAATGACCCGCCGCATGACGCAAGCGTATTCTTGCCCGCTGCCCTTGAAGCCTTGGGCTGCCGCAAGCATGGCAATCTCATGATCCCGCATGGCCACCTGGCGGAGCCCACTCTTGAAAAGGCATGGGTCCTCAAGCTGAGGCCTTCCTTGCACGCAACCTATCCCTTGCTGGGCCTCCTACTGATTCCACCTGTTTGAACTGCAATCTTTGTAGGCTGCCTGCATTTCATCAAACGCGGGACCCTCAAAATCCCTCCCACCCAAGAAACTAGCAAGCGTGCCTGCCAAAGCACGATGCCCCCTTTTGGAGGCACTGCACTCACTCGGGTCACAATTTGGTTGTATTCGCATGCATGGTGTCCTGCAAAATGCAGGATCAATAGCAAGCTATAGCTACCAACACAACAAAACTGATTGCAACAAATAATGTAATTTTAACAAATTTGAACACACTACCATAGGATAACTGACCGCCCCGGAGCCTCGTGGTGCAGCTGTTGGAGTGTAGCCTCCAACGTCCCCAGCACGCCGCCTGCTGCTACGAAGTGCCCACATCACATGGGACCCCTCTGAAACAGCCGGGTCTCGCTGAACGAGCAAAATAGTCAACACGGGAATGCTCTTACATTCAACCGTGGTGCACGAACCCGGGTATATACACCAGCCAGATTAACTGCAGGGGTCCCCAAATGCCGAAGATGCTCTCTGTGGGTCGTCCTGGGTCCCCGTTGCAATGGAGGCAGCCCGGGCGGCACATTCGCCAAACCAACGCCTTGACCTTGGCCAAGAAGCTGGCTCTTGCCCTCCCGTGACCTCAGCTTTGAAACATGGGCTGCCATCAGTAGTCCCCATTTTGGCTATGAAGCTGGTAAGCCTTCCTGCTGGTGGGCCAGGGAGAGCAGGATCAACCCTTATTTGGCCGAGGGTCCGTGATGTCTGTGGAATTTTGGCGGAGACCGATCTATTGAATCCATAGGTTCCGTCTTGAGAGGATCTTGCCATAGGGGGAGCTGATTCAACAAGCGACGAACCAGGGTAAATGGTGGGCCGCAGTCTTTTGTGCTTGCATCTCTTCGCCCGGGTTGGCAGAACCTATCCTTGGGAGTGCTTCGCGAGCTCAGCCACAATCAGCCGGGAGAGGGCCGCAAGTGGCAATCCCACAACCTGGGCTTCTCTGCGCAAGAACAAGTAACCTGACGCCTCTGACATGTGAGGCTTGCAATGTTAGCCCCTGCAACAGCCTCGGAAAGCCGGAAAAGCGAAAGAGGAGGTCATGCGGGGTTCGAGAAAATTTCCCAGGGAATAGCACCTAGAGGCCATGCAAGCCTGCGGCGTCGCGATAGGGACACAAGTCCTGCAGCCTGGCAAGGAGCATTCTGATAGTCGCCCTGGATGCCCGTGACCAACAAGCTGCCCAAAGCCTGAGCACTTTGAGGATGCTCCCACTTTTGCACCCCACCACCCACCCAACCTGCCCCACCCAACCCACCTACACACCAACCCACCCACCCCACCCGCTGGCCTGGATGCCGTAGCCGCCTGCCTTGTCAAAGGGCTCCCCCGTCTCGATGTACGCCTTCATCTCTTCATCCGAAAGCCGCGCAAAGGTCACCGTGGTTTCCTCCTGAGGAAATCCATGCCGACCGCTTGGAAATCCGGTTTCGCGAACTCCCAGCGTGAAGGCTCGCCCCCTCCAACGCAAGGCGACAGCTATCGCTGGACTCCTTTACGCGTCCGGCATTCACTCAATCCAAGGCTCGCAAATAGCGGTGGGCTCTTCGCACCCGCCGACAGAGACAGCAATGCCTGTCATCACCTGGCTCTCCGAAGCAGTACCCGGCGGAACAATTCACAAAACGTCCAAACGCGGCTCCCCAAAGGAGCGTTCGTCAAAACTCATCGACGAAATGCCCAGTGAGTTGCGGTGAAAAAATCCATCCCCCTAACTGATGCTTCAACATGGCAACATGGAGGATCGACCAATCCCTAATCATGACAGCACCAACCATTACAAAGGGGACCACCCCATCCGTATGTCACCTTTTTTACATTTGTGCACACCAACTGAACCTTCGTGTTCAAGCCACGTGCGTAGGTTATACTGAGGGCAAGGGAACTGACCCTACGGTTGGATAGTTATAAGCTACAGCTTTTGCATGCAACCGACCTCCCCTATGGCCTGATGGCTCTTCCCCTGGAGCTGCCGCAGCATGGCCAGCGCATGCTCGGGGTCCTGAGGGCATGTGCGAACAAATTGGCGGCGTCCCCTTCAAAAAACGGGTGCCATGATACCCCTTGCAACCAACCGGCAAAAAATGGTGTCCAACTCTAAACAGGGTGCCCTGAAAGAGAAACACACACACACACACAGAGGATCGGCGATGCTCATCGACTGTCAACCTGTGACCAACTAGAATCGGAAAGGAAAGCTTCATGCATGAAGATACATCTTGCTGGCCCAACGCAAAGCACGCGCGCGGACTTTGCCGGGGACACCTCCGTAGCATCCCTTGGGTCCTGGGGCTTCTCCAGAATCTGGCCAGAGACCACCACCGTGTCCGCACCTTCCGGTTGCAAGTTTCGCAAGACCAGAACACTGGCGGCGGAAAACCTCCGGGCACGCAAAATGATGTCAACTGTGAGCCCCTCACTGGGGCCACCTATGATTCCAACTGGTCATCTCTAACAAGCGGCTGACTCTCCAAAGGCTGGACCTGCCAGCACTTCAACAAATGCGCCAAAGAGCAGTCAAGTTTGAGTTGGAACTGAATAATGAAGCTATTCATGGGTGAATGCTCAAGACCAAATCTCAACAGTGATATGGGCATCCAGCCGCCAAAAAGCCGACAGGCTTAACTCCAGAGCCGGGCCTATGACAATCAGCACTTTGTCCTTGTCGACCTCTTTCTCGGGGTATCTGGGGTGGGCCAGCTTCATCACCACCTACCGCCACTGCGAGCCAAGTGCTGGAGGCCAATTCGGCTTGTGCAAGGAGCACGCCGGCACACACCTCACCCAACGTCACTTACCTTGCAAGAACATGATCTTCTCGTCCCCATCAAGTAGGAAGGCCAGAAACTGAGCAGCCCAAGGGTCGAGGACTGCATACCTACATCGCCCGGGCAAGGGCCTCTGCACACTTGATGCGCGCATTGGCCATCACATACCTGGGCTTCAGATGGACCAAATCAGCGCATAGCCGAGCTCTCCTCTCTCTTTCTCTCACGCTCCGAGGTGCTCTCGGGGTGTGTACTTCGATTTGTCCAAGTCCTTGGCTCCACTTGAAACTCAGCCCTGGCCGTCAGCCCGCCAATCACAGCCCTGGCCCAGCCCCCTGAGGCTCTGGCTTCTGCAAACTTGGGCGTGACCATGTCGAAAGGCAGCCCTCGGAACATTTCAACGGGGGGCCGCCCCTCGGAACTGCCACGGAGGGAGGATCGGGCAGGGCGGCTTTCATTCCAGGCGTCCCTTTTCAACACGGGCCCCTGAAATCCCCTGCCCCCCCCCCCAAAAAAAAAAAACTCCGGGATCCCCTTGCAAACAGCCGGCTTCGCCCCGCGCACACGGTCTTACTGTTAGGGGTCCCCCAAGAACATGTTTGGCAACTCTGGGATGGGAGAAATTTGAAGATCCAGGGCCGATTTTGGGAGGCTCGAGGTGTAAACTCAGGCTTGAACCGAAACATGGCTGGCTTTCCAAAATTGAGCAATGACGAATGGCAATTAATCCCATCGAATCGCAAATGGCGTCACACACCGGGGGCTGTCTTTTCCTTGCCCCTTTTCTGGATGGTTCTTGTGAAAGTGCCAAACCCCTCAATTTCCCCGCCGCCATTCACGTAATTCCCCCCCTCCTCCCCCCGGCCCGCGCTCTCCAGGGCCCACGGCCCAGCAAGCTGAGGATCTCCCTGCGCCGAGGGCTGCTGGACGCCAGGACGATGCGGCACCGCTCCCTCAGGCGTTGCACCTGGCAGGCGTCAGCCGCGAGGTTCGGAAAGCCTGGTGGAGAAGAGGGGGTGCGTTTTCCACCCAGTCCAAGGATGCCCTCATAAAAGGAGCATCAGCAGTGGAAACCCACATGGAACTCAAGGATGCCCCCAGCCATTTCAACCTTCAACCAGGGGCAAACTGAATCTTTCTCAATTTTCAATTGGCCGGTGCGGTCTCTAACATTACGAGCCCTGGCTCTCTGCCTGGGCAAGCCATCAAATCCTGGCAGAAGGGTACACCTGCCCCCTTCGCCGCACCTCTAACAGGATTCCCGCCATCAGCCCGGGACCATCAGTGGGATGCGGCGGTGAAGCGCCCGCGCCGGTGAGTCCGACTGAGCCCTCCGCCCTTCATGGGGTAAATGCTTCGGCAGGTTGAGCTGCTGCTCTGTTGCTCTTTCTGCGGCTGACCGTCCCCCAAAAATACAGCGCTCATGACTCCGTTGACATTTGGCATCCCTTCAGCTGCGGTGTAAAACATGACGTCGGTGGCGCTGATCACAATTCATTCAAGCCTCCTTGACTGATGCATAGCTTGCCCTCAGAACATGACCTGCATGATGACCTTTGGCCCGCGCCTTGCAACCTGTGTTGCATGTCCCGCAAATGGGCAGGAAACTGCAGGCGAGTAGCGGCTGCGGCGTTCGTATTGTGTGCTATACAAGTGCATGCATTGCCGTGTTGGCACGTAGACCTTTCTTGATTTATGCACACATATACATAAATATATACTATGTAAATACGTAATTATCATCACATTAGTGTCAACACTTGCACGCTACATAGCAAGTATGAGCTTGCAGATTCCTGCATGCACCCGCACACGTGCACACAAATGGCACCTCTCCACTACACTGGGTGTTGTGTGTGTGTGTGTGCGCGTGTTGGCGCTGACATGCTCAAGCGGTCAATCGAGCTGCCATCACCTGGGGAAAGGCTTGCCTCTTGTGCGCCACCAGGTGCCAAACGCTGTCGGCTCTCGTTGCAGGTAAATCTCACCTCAGCACTCAACCATACTCAACCAACCTTCCTAGAAGTGCCAGCTGATGGTGGGCTATGGCACTGGGGCCAACATCTGGACCAATCTGGAAGTATAGCTGCATGGCTGGAACACTGTCCCTACTGAGCACCGGTTAGCAACGTTGCATACTTGGCGCTGGACGCAGCAATCGGAAGCACTCCTGGCCACCAAACATCATGGGCCCCAGCTCACATTCCCCCCCCCAAGAATAAACCCTGCAGCCCCCAGTTCCTTACAAGGCCCTACCCATGGCCAGCCAGGCTCCTGGAATCGGCCCAGCGAGCCGCCAACAAAGGGTGCCTCCAAATCCTGCGGGCGCATGTGCACCATTGGGTGAGGATCGGAACCAGGTTGGGATACTCAGCTCGCCGAAGAATTAAAGCGATTAAAGCACCTATACTATACCCTGTGATTAATTCACCCGGGCAGGTCATATGGTTTTTTCCCCTAGAATCCGTGGTCTGCAACGGCATGCAGAGCCGGGCTGTACAGTCGCAGCCGATGCTGCGAGTCCTGCTGCACCAGGTAGCCTTGAACAAGCTGTTTGCACTCCTGGCATTCGCCGGAATCCAAGGGTGTGCCTCCCAACAGGGGTGGGGACCGACAAAACGAGGAGCTTCCCAAACGCAAACACAAACACGAGCACCTGCTTGTCCTCCTCTGCAAGCTGCTCGTCCTGCCAAAGCCACGGCAACAGAATGAGGGGGAACAGACTGCAAGCCCCATACAAAGGGTCTTCCTTCAAGCACCCCGCCGTAAGAAAAGGTGCTGCCATCTCTTCAGGAACCAAGGATGGGCATGTTGGCCATTTACTTCAGGGTCTTGGAGAGCATCTATCACTTCCGAGCTCCAGACCGTGTCGCCATTCAGTAGCTTCAGCTCATCCTGGCTGACCCACCAATGGGAGCAAATTCCCTGGCAACTTGTTGGAACATTCAACCTTGCTTCTTGCAACCTCACGGTGCGTAGGTGTTGGTGTTTGTGCTACGGGGTCAGGCATGTTGTTGAAGGGATCGGAACGACAGACCAACCTGTCTCCCCAATTGGTACAAACAATGATCTGGGGTCTTCCTCTCCAAAGGCAGTCGTCTGTTGTAAGGAGGCTCTCAAAGATGCGTTCCCAAAACAGAACTGCCCCCAAATGAATTGCAGGCGCTCATTTTGGCCAGCCCTTGAAAAAATTGGAAACGTCCTGGGCAAAGGGAGGAATCATCATGCAGCCATACAGGGCGCCCGCTGGAATCTCCAAATATGGCCGGTCTCAACCCAAAGCCTCATTAAGACTTGCCAAGGCCTTGAAAACCGGTGCCGGCCCAGGGCTTAAGACGGCCTTCTTGCCAGGAACCCCCCAAGCCCCCCAACCAAACCCCCAAACCCCAACCCCCCTACACCCCCTAAACCCCAAACCCCCTAAACCCCCTAAACCCCCTACACCCCGTCCCCCCTGACCCACCCTGGCCTTCAGCTCCGCGGCCTCCTTCTTCAAGCGCCGGATCAGCAGCGCCGGGTCCAGCTCCTAGGCCCAACCCCCCCCCCCCCCCCGAAACCTCGCCCACTTGGGTGACCAACTAGCGGAGTAAACTGGTTTGAAAAGAATTGGTTGTTGCCACACTCGATGGCTCGACTGCACAATCCTGCATCTACCTCAGAATGGGCTGGAAGCCCTGCAAATGGGTGGGTTCCGTTTGGCTTCCCTTGAACAACCCCGAAAATGTTGCTATTATTGGCCTCCGCGCCCTGCTGCGGACCGCCGGGCGACTCGCGGCGACTCGCGTCCCAGGCGCCTCGTTGACGATGGCGTTGTTCTTGATGGACGCCACCCGCTGGGCAAACCTGCAGGTGGAGATGGACCTCGCGGATCGTCCAGGTGGTGCAGAAGCTGCAACTGCAAGTTTGTTCTACGCCACTGTGGCTGTTCTCAAAAATGGGTTGGAACCACTCTGAAAATTAGCCTCGATATTCCTATCCGGCCCCCTTCAACACGACCTCCAAAGAGTACCATCAAAAGAGACTGGCACAACTTGCCCAAATGTCCAACAAACATACCTCCTCGAACGTTAGGAAAGGAACAGCCAGCCGGATGGTTTCAACACCAGCGGGCCGTGCCAGCGGGGAGTCAAGCACCAAAAAAGAAGCAAAGAAGGACTCACACACACACACACACACCCACACCAAAAAAAGCGACACTAAGGCAGGCGCTCGTCCAAGTGGCGATCCTCAACAGCCGCAGTGCCCACCATCACCGTCTTGCAGTTGCCGCCTCACAGTTCCAACTCAACCCCCGCCCCCCCCCAGGGCGGTACTTGAAGGGTCACTGCAGTAAGGCTCTGGCCAAGCGAGTCCCGAAGCACGGATGTCATCATCGAGTTCCTGCCAGGGCTCAACCACGCAGCTGTTCATGGAGCCAACGAGCCGAGCACGGTCAGGCCGATCAAGTGGAACGTGCGTGCATACATCTGCACATACACACATCATATGTATAAATGGTCATAACACTATATACTGTTCAAAAGACATGTGCCAGTTTTAGTGTTTGTGTGGTTGCGTGTTTGTGGGTTTGCGTTTTTGTGTGGTTCTCTTTGTCTTGCGTGTTTGTGAGTTCGTGTCCTTCTGTGTTTGTGTGCTTGTGAGCTTGTGTTCTTGTGTGCTTGTGGGGGTGTGTGTGCTTGTGTGCTTGTCAGTTTGTGTGCTTGTGTGTTTATGTGCTTGTGTAATTGTGTGTCTGTGTGTTTGTGTTTGTGAGTTGCGTTATTGTGTCGTTCTGCTTGTGTCTTTGTGCGTCTGTGAGTTTGTACTTCTGTGTTTGTGTGGTGTTGCTTGTGTTTGTGTGCTTGTGTGTGTGTGTGTGAGGTTGTGTGTGGGGGCTTGTGTTTGTATGCTTGTGTGAGTTTATGTGCGTGTGTGTTTGTGCGGTTTGCTTGTGCTTCTGTGGTTGTGTGTCTGTGTGTTTGTGTTTGTCAGTTGCGTGTTTGCGTGGTTCTGTTTGTGTGTTTGTGTGTTTGTGTGTTTGTGTGTTTGTATTTGTGAGGTTGTGTGCTGCCGTGTTTGTATGTTGTTGTTTGTGTTCCTGTGCTTGTGTGTGTGTGTGAGTGTGCGCTTGTGTGCTTGTGTGCTCGTGCTTGTGTTTGTGTGGTTGTGGTTGTGTGGTTGTGTGGTTGTGTGTTTCTGTTGCTGTGTTTGTGCTTGTTTGTCCTTGTTTGTGTGGTTGTGTGTTTGTGAGTTTGCGTGCTTGTGTCTTTTTGCGTTTGTGTTTGTGTGCGTGTTGTGCGTGTGCGTACGTTGAAGCTTGGCAATGGTTGGGTTCACGCGGCCTTCCTTTTCTCAGCCACCAACAAAGAGTACTTCGTTAGACGCATTCCTATGTGATTGCTTTGCCGACTCAGTGGGCATGCCCCCACCCAGCAGTTGCCTGTCCTGTATGGCACATGAGCTCGGCCCCCAGTGGAACGCTCATGCAAGGCCACGATCACCTGCTCCAAGTAGTGCCTGAAGTGAGAGCCACATCGGCCCAAGTTGCCTAGAACGAGTTGTATGGAGGAGCCGCACCAAGATCCTCCCAGATGGCTCTTGGGCCCAAGCAGTGATAGGTTGATGTACCGAGCTTCCTTCTGCAGGTTCCCCACGACCTTTGCCCAGGCAGCGCTTACGACTCTAGTTTCAAAGCGAGCCGTTCTGAGAATGTGGGGAATGTGTCTAAACTACTGTGGATGGACAAAATCCTGCACCACCCAAGGCACCATGCAAAACCATTGTTTGTTGGTATTTACAGGGGATCATATTATTCTAGGGTTTCTTAGGTGGTGCAGGATATCGTCCATCCACGTATCACCCCCTCCTAAATGCCCAAGGGCATTCCCAGCCCAATTCACATGGCGGGAGAGGTTCTCTTTTGGAATTTGCTTGTGGCTCCACTCTCTCTTTGTGGGGGCGACAGGGAACTCCTGTAGTTTTGTTTACGGCGATCCATTTGTCTTCGTGGGGAGAGACAGAAACGATGGAATTGGGGCCTTAGCCCAACCCGGTGGTGGTGATTGCGAGAAAACGTCGCGGTGCAAGATGATCGCTTGTTTGACTACGCAGGAAGTGGCAACGTGGTAAGTGGCCAAAGGGTTGCTTCCAATTGAGACCGATGTGCGCGCCATTGTGATTGAGCAATCAGTCAGTCAGGCCTTGGGTTGATTGCTTTCAACAATGAGATCGCTGTACGGGTGTGGGTCAGAATTAAACCACCAGGATACCAGGTTTTGGTGCATATTTTCCACATATTCTTGGCCCACAGCCATATGCGTGTGGCTCCATGAGTACGCCGGAGTACCCTGAAGTTCCACTTGCCGGTCGCCAGGCCCCCGGCCCCCGTCTTGGAGATTCGCTCGCTGCCAGCCTCGGGCACCCTATGGCTGTCCAGCGAACCATACCTCCAAATTGGTGGTGTTCCTCATGCGTCCCTTTTTTGAAATCACACCAGAAATGATACCCTCAAACGAAAACATTCCCCTATTGTGGGTGGACGAAGTCCATTTCGCACCACCTACGAAACCCTGGAATGATACGATTCCCCTGTAAATACCAACAAACCTTATGGTTTCAACCATGGTTTCAATTCGTGGTGCCAGGATTTCGTCCTCCACAGCCTCCGCCCCCAAGGCCGTGGCAAGGTCTACGAGGTGCAGCTTGGCGCGCCGCACCGTGTCGCTGTCCGGCTGCGTGGACTCCACCCACATGATGAACCTACAGCGGATACCCCGGAGACCCCGGAGACCCCCAAGGTGTGTCTCATTTTGGGAGGTCAAAAGCCTCCCAAAATGCGGGTTATTTGCTTCTGATGTTTCACCGCACCCCAAAAACTGGCACCCTCAAAAGCTCCCCCTTCCCCGCCCCCCCCACTTTCTGGCATCAAGGGCATGGGGCGGTGGGCGTGCGGATGGACCTCCGTGGAGAAGCGGGGGGTGATTAGCAAGGGCCCCAACCATTCCCACCTCGAACTGATAAACAAGGTTCAAAGACGCTAACCTGTCAAAAGGTTGATGCAACTGTGGCACGCGTCAGTCCTCGCCAAGATGCATTGGAAAAAAGAGGGAACACAACGCCCGGTTTGGAATGTGCCCAGCGGCAGCTCTTATGGGTTCCCCCTCATGCAAAAGTCCGGCGGCAGTCTTCCTAAGGATTTGAGTGATGTTGCCCAGGGTCGGGCTTCCAGTGGAGCTTTCGGGGGGAAGCTATTCGAGCAGACACAAAGGGTGATCAGCATTTTGGCAACCAACAACTTCCAACTCGAAGGCGCTGCAAATTAGATTCTTGTGTAAAGCTTTGCATGTCAACCACATCAGCAACCCCCAGCTGGCCTGCAAGTAACCATACACACAAACTGACCTGCACACGTGCACAACCACACACGCACGCACACACACGCACACACACACACACACACACCCACACCCACACCCACACCCACACCCACACCCACACCCACACCCACACCCACACCCACACCCACACCCACACACACACACACACACACACACGTCATCACACACACCCACCTGCCCGCCCGCCCGCCCACCCACCCGTGCTTGTCTGTCTTGGGTTGCCCCCCCCCCCGCGCCCCCCCGAAACACGCAAGCCCCGAATGACTGGATGTTGGCTGCCAGCCGCTACTACATCGCTCTTGCGAAAAGGGTATCAAAAGTATGTGCACATGCAGGCATTCACACTCGTGCACACATGCGCACAGAAACACCCACACACACACACACCAAGCAGACACGCGTGCGAACGAGCACGAATAAATATAGACGTTCACAAACCAAAACATGGTTCTGCTACTTCCTTGGCAACGGTTTCTGGGGAACCGCTTCAGGCATCTTGCAAATCATGAAAGCTCCCCAGCAGGGTTTCCCATTATTGCAAGGTCCTCTGTTGATCTCTGCGTGTTGCCAGTCCCGCTTGCCGCCTTGAACATGCGTTCTTCCGAGCCGTTTTGTGCTTATTGGAGGCATACATCCAGCCCCCCCACCCGATCAAGAGCAATCCAGCGTCTCGAGTGGACCAGCCACACACTGCAACATGCTTGGCAGGGTGACTCCCTTCAAGCTTTGACGATAGAAGCGGCCGAAGGTCAAGCACTGCAAGGTGCTGGGCAGATTCACTTTCTCCAAGCTGCGGTTGAAGCCGTAGCCAAAAGTCAGGCGCTGCAAACTGCTGGGCAGCACGACTCCTTCCAAACTTTGGTTGAAGGCAAAGTCGAAAGTCAGGCTCTGCAAGCTGCTCGGCAGCGTCACTCGATCAAGGCTTTGGTCAAAGTCATAGCCAAAAGTAAGACTCTGCAAGCTGCTGGGCAGACTGACTCCCTCCAGACTTCTATTGAACATGTCGTGAAAAGTGAGGCTCTTCAAGCTATTGGGTAGAATGACCCCCTGTAAGCTCTGGTTGAACTCGTCGCCAAAAGTCAGACTCTGCAAGCCGCTGGGAAAAATCACCCCTTGTAAGCTTTTGTTGAAATTAGAGCCGAAAGTCAGGTGCTGCAAGCTGCCAGGAAGCACGACTTCTTCCAAACTTTTGTTGAAGTGCGAGCCGAGTGTCAGACTCTGCAAGCTGCTTGGGAAATTGACATTCAAGCTTTGCGTGAAGTTGTTACCCAGCGAAAGGTGTTGCAGGCTTCCGGGCAAATTGATTCCCTGCAGGCTTTTGTTGAAGTTAAAGCCAAATGTCAGGCTCTGCAAACTGCTGGGTAGAGTGACTCCTTTCAAGGATTGGTTGAACAAGTGCCCAAAAGTCAGGCTCTCCAATCTGCCGGGCAGCTTCACTCGCTTCAGGCTTTGGTTGAACTCGTGTCCAAAGGTCAGCTCCCGCAAGCCGCTCGGAAGAATAAGTCCCTGCAAGCTTTCGTTGAAGCCGAAGCCAAAAGTCAAGATTTGCAAGCTGCTAAATTCATTGACCCCCTCCAAACTTCGGTCGATCCGCTGGCCGACGGTGAGGTTCTGCAAGCCGCGTTTGACGTTGACGACCCTCAAGCTACGACTGAATCTGTCGCCCAGGGTGAGTTGCTGCAAGCTGCTGGGCAGATTCACTTTCTGGAAGGTTTGGTTGAACCTGTGGCCAAAAGTTAAGCTCTGCAAGCCACTGGGCAGCACAACTCCTTCCAAGCTTTGGTTGAAGGCAAAGCCGAAAGCCAAGCTTTGCAAGCTGCTCGGCAGCGTCACTCGGTCAAGGCTTTGGTCGAAGAAGCGGCCAAAAGTCAAGCTTTGCAAGCTGCTGGGAAGGGCAACTCCCCTCAAGGTCTTGTTGAATTCACAGCCAAAGGTAAGGCTCTGCAAGCTCCTTGGTAGAATAACTCCCTTCATGCTCTGATTGAAGAAGTTTCCAAACGTCAGGCTTTGCAAATTACCGGGCAAATGGACTCCCTTCAAGGTCTTGTTGAAGGAGCAGCCAAAAGTCAGGCTCTGCAAGCCGCTGGGAAGCACCACTCCTTGCAAACTTTGGTTGAAGCAGTAATCAAAGGTCAGGGCCTGCAAGCTGCTGGGCAGACTTACGCTGCTTAAGCTTTGGTTGAAGTCGAAACCAAATTTCAGCGTCTGCAGGCTGCTGGGCAGCGTGATGCCCCTCAGACTTTCATTGAAGACGTCGCCGAAGCTCAGGTTCTGCAAGCCGCTGGGCAGCACAGCTCGCCCCAAGCCTTGGGTGAAGCCGTAGCCGGTAGTAATGCTCAGGCTGCGCAGGGTGTCCGGAAGCTCCGCGAAGAGCGGCAGCGTGCGATCCTCCAGTACCAAGCACATCTTCGTGACCCCTTCCATGGCCTGGATGGCTTCCTCAGCGTCTCCGCTCGGCCTCAGGGCATCCCATGCCTTCAGCAGGTTCACGCGGGCGAAGGTGAAGGTGCCCTCCGGGGATTCCAGGTCTTGGTCCCGCAGGCTCAGGTGGGGCACCAGCCTGCGGCTGCCAAACCAGAGGCTCAGCACCCCTCCGGGCCTTGGAGGAAGCTGAGACCTGGAGATTCCAAAGCTCCATCTCATGGGCTGACCATTGGGGTGACCAAAAACAACCAAAGAAGATGTTTAAAACTTTGACCACTTGGGAAGAATGTTACCCATGGTCAATACTAGGGGGTTGCCCTAAATGGAGGATTGATCACCCACCTCACCATCTGCAGCAGCTCCCTGCCCCGCAGCTCTGCCGCAACGCAAAGGCGCAGCTCCCGGCCATCCAGGCCGGCAATGCGAAGCTCCACGTCGGGACGCGGAAAAGAGGTCAAATCCATTGCCAGGAAGTTGTCCCCACAAGTCTCCACAAGTCTCCACAAGCTGCTTAAATGTTGCTTGCGCCGAAAATGCTGGAGGAAACTTGGAGCTGGTTGAGCCTCTGGGAAGAGCACACGAGAACTGATTAAGCAATCTATGAGAGAGAATCATCATGTCCACCAATGATTTCAAGGCTGACTCATGCGCGTGTGAGAATCAGCCCAGCTGCAACAACCCATGCTGGGGCTCCTGCATGCAGTGGCTTCCTAGGCTCAGGGCATCTCTGCACGAAAAAGGAAAGTGCTGTCACAGTCTACGGAGCTTGTTGGACTTGGCTGCTAGCCAAACCCGGGCAAGGCCCCTTCCACAATCCAAGGGAAGGACTTCAGGATTGCCTTTGAACAGCCCAGGAAATCCAAAGCGACGCCTTTTCAACCCTTTTCAGCGTAGGGGGCTCGATTTTTTAAGCGGTGCCGCCAAAGCTAAGCTTGGGATGGTGCCCTCTGCTCTGAGGAGCAGTCGGGTGGACACATCGTTCATCGGAGTCTCAGCAACCACCCGGTTGGTGTCACCCAGGAACAGCAGATTCAACCTGGCGTTGAGAGCAATGCGTCACCAAGAGCTGCTGGCAATGTGCATGCAAAGTGGCCTGTGAGCCTGCGAAACTGCTTCCCCAAGAACTAAACTCGCCACCCAGACGCATCCTCTTCTTTCTGGGCCATGTTCACCGAGAGATTGCGCAAGTGTATGTTGCCATCCTGCATGGAGCAAGGCGAACCGCCCTCCAAATCTCTTGGATGTCAAGAGGACATCGGATTGATGCTTGGATGGGACTCAGGCTCTGAGCATAGCAAGGTCGACCCATCCACAAGTAATGATCCAAAGTCCAGAGCGTTCCTGGAACGATGCGTACCTCGCAAGCACAAGCCTGGGACAGGGAACTTGTTCTGTTCCAAATCAGCACCCTCCCTCCAATCATGGAAGTTCACAGGAGGGTTTTGGAAGACTACTACCCTTTGGGGTCCATGAGTGTTGGAAAAAGGGTAGCAATTCCATTGCTTCGTGTCGTTTCACAATTGGATGTGTTATTGTTGCTTTAAAAACACACCGTGCAAAAATTGAAAGACTTGTTGGGCACCCTTCCTACAGCGCATCGGCGACGCTCTCTCTGGCTCCCCGCCTCGTCCTCTCGGAGCTGCACCTTCGGCAAGTCCTCGCGGATGGGAACTTTTTCCGGCCACTGGGCACCCCAAAGAACCGGACCCCCTGCCAATTTCCAGGTTTCCAGATCACGGGGAGAGGGCACCCTCAGGTTTTCATGTTGCACGGAATGACAGTTTCACCATGCGCAGTGGATCAACATGTAAAGCGCCGTCTCATACCTCCATCCACCCCTCACAGCCAGTACAAGCTGTTTTGATCCCAGACCAGCCGCGTAGTGCAGCGCTCCCTTTTCTGCCGCTTGGCTCAGAAGAGCCGATCTAAAACTTGAGCTCTCTTGAGCCTTGCAGACAGGTTGAGGCTCTTTTGCAGCCACTTGGAACGGGGCCGGACAGAAGGACGCGTGTTCCAACCCCTTTTTGGCAAAGCCAACCCCGGAACAAGAGGTCACCCGCCCGCGCCGCGGTGGAGTGCGGCATCCCCATTTTGGGGACGAAAAGAATGCGGCCTTCGAGCGAAGGCTCCAAATGACCCAAGCGCTACAAATTTGGCCGTACAGCCATGAACTCGAAGTTATCATGCATTTTTCACAACTTCCTTATGCAACTTTTCCCTCCGCAGGCTTGATGTCAAAAACCTGGGCCGCTGAATAGTACTCTCAGAGCCGAGGCCCATGCCCTGCTCAAAACAAGCAGTAGCACCCTGTCATCTCCCAACTGGAAGCCCCACGCCCGCCCGGCAAAACCCAAACTTGGGACAAAAAGCTGCATTGACCTCCTTCTGAAAACCCACCTTCGCCGCATTCTCCAAGGCTGCGGGCAGGAGCCCAGACCGCTTCGCGGATTCAAACCTGGCCGGCTGGACGTCAGGGTGTGGATCAAACAGTGTGGGCAATCGGGAACCTAGCCGAACATCGGCTGACATCGGGCCGGCTCCGATTGAAATTGGGACGCCACATGCCACATAGCCCAAAACACGAGCAGAAGGAGTGCCGCGCTGGCCACAGCAAGCCGGATGATTGTGCATTTGATACGTGACCAAACCCGACTGCCTTCCTGACCACCAAAATGATCTTTCCAACAAAAAGAAGTCCAGGAACTCAGGAAGTGAGCTGCTGAAATTGTGGAAACGGGCTCCCGGTGCACGCACTTCCATTTCCCCGGCGCCGAGGAGCTTTCGCAGCAATGACTGCAAGTGGGAAATCGGATCAATGGATGGCCTGGAAGCCTGGCAGCACGAGAGACGCGGGTTCCCCATCCCCACGAGCAGCACGCATGATGTTCCTTCCCCTGGGCGAAAATGAGAGGGCAATCCAGAGCCAGGCAGGGCTTAGTGGGAAGGGAACCGGGCTGCGGCTACCTTCTCAGCCGAGATGAGCAGACAGCGTACACAACAAATTGTCAGAGGTTGGCAGCTGGACGGCTACGTCTCGCATAACGATCCCTTTGTTGGACAACCCTCTGGAGCCTTTGCTGCTGTTGTGGCAGACACATGGTCCAGGTTGCAGAACCTCAGGGCAACACTTGCTCAGCCTGTCAACAATCCATAGCTGACACTTGGCAAGGCCAGAATCGGGCCGTCAACAAACGAGATGGCAAAGCGCCATAGCCTTTGGAAGCTTCCTGCACCCTTCAGCCCCTCGTTTTGGCTGGTGCCTGATTTGGCTTAAAAAGGGGCCGCCTCTAGGGCCAAAAAATGTGGACTTCCCTTTCGTTTACCCTAGGCTCCCCTGAAAGCAGCCCCATAAAGGGGTGACACCCATGTGCCCCTCACCACAATTTGAACGCAGCCCAGCGGCTGCATGAGACACGCCACGCCCGAGGCACCTGCCCTGTGGCAGCCTCGGGTCCAAACCAGGGGTCCTTTTTTGGAGGGGGAGGGGTCTTTTTTGTTGCGTTGCTTTCTTGTCGTCAGGAAGAACCACCTAAATGCCGCCGAACTCACCTCATGGATTGATAGGGGGTTTCCCGAAAGCAACAAAAACAACTAACTCAGCTCCCTCACTGAGACACCCTGAATTGATCGGCAGTCAAGCTCCCTCAGCTTTCTCATTTGCGCTGAAGGTGTTCTGCGCAGCCCCCTCAAACACGCCCGTCTCGCGGATCCGGCCTGCCAAGCCTCGGGTGGCCAACAGGCCCGCAATGCTGAGGCCAGCTCACCCCCACACTTCAACATGTTTGGCTCATACTCCCATTCCAAGGCATGGCCAGGGGCCGCAAGCCGAGTCCCGAGCTCCCGGGGAAGCCGAGGTGCAGTGAATCATCACGTTGCTCCCTTCCTCCAAGTTCCGGCCCACGAAGCCCAGCATGGGAGCCAGCACCCGGGCAACACCTCCGGAACCACTTGCAATATCCGATTTGGCAATGCCAACGGGCCACAGCTTCGAACATGTCCATGCGCCATACCCTGCGCAGCTCTTGGACATGGGAAATGGGCAGCCAGGGTCACAGTCGCCTCAAGGAGTCTGAAGCCATACTTTCTGCCAAGTCTCTCCGCGGCGTCTTTTCAGGTGCAGCCTCCCGCCAGCAGCCGATGGGAAAGTACAGGTAGGACACCTGGGGATCCTCAAGGGCCAGGCCGCACAGTTCTCTTGGACTCCCTACGCTTACCCGTCAAGTATGACGGCATCGCCACACAAGAAGGAAACTCCCCTTCAACTAGCCGAAAGGTGATGTTCAATGATTCAACCATCCAAGCAGAAGCAGGGGGCAAATACGATGGGGAGCCCCCGTGCCTTGGTATGGATCTTGCTGATCATGTGCCAACTGCAACCAGGACTGCCTTCCCTTCAAGTCTCCCTTGTGGTCAACCCCTGCATCACCGGGGAAAAAACGGGGTGACGCCTTCCGCACTTGGATTTGGGCTCCAAGTCCCACGCAGCCGGGGCGCGTTGTGAAACGCACCCAGCTCCCCATTGAAGTCCAAGCAGTTTACCTGAAGTCGAAACCCAGGCACCGGCCACAGATTCCACGGAATCTCACCCTAGTCCGCCGCAGGTTGACATAGGAACTGTTTTCAGGGTCTGCAGTCTTTCACCCCGAAGTTGAGTACCCCCGACCTGACAAGAAAGGATGCATAACTCCAGTCCAAAATTCGTGCCTGCGTGTCGCGTTTCTTTTCAAGCACTCCTGGATTGATTTGGCATCGCAGCCGGGAGGCTATGAAACGAATGCCGTGCTCCCGCAGAACATCTCGGGAGCTTGCTGCATGCGCATTGGAAACAAAGAGCCGCCCGCCTCACATCTCACACTCCAGCACGGCGCTGCAAAAAATTAGAGGAAACTCTGACTGCAATGCCCAAACTTTGCGGTCTAAGGTTTAGAAGCCCACAGTGCGTAGCCGGACGCAGTCAAACTCTTCAACTCTGCAATAAGCTAGGGACAAGGCACAATCCGAAGGGATCACTGGGTCCCTTCCAACAGCTCGCAATTACTCATAGGTTCCAAGAAAACTGCCACTCCCAAAAAGGAGACATGGAGGGCGCGGAATCCTGCCTGAGTCTGGGTGGCTCCAAATCACATTGAGGGGCTTGTACGTCTGCTTGTCGCCGTTCCTTGGACAGCAGGGTCGCAAGCGTGACCCCGAGACCCACAAGGGGTGCATGTGCACGCACAAACCGAAAAACATGGATCTCTAAACCAAACCCTGTGAGGTTGTTGTTGTACGAGGTCTCATTGCCCCTGCGGCTGGAGCGCTCCAGGGCCTGCTGGGCCTCTTGCAAGATCTCCTCCCCGGCCAAGTCGAAGTCGCAGTCGCTCTCGCTCAAGACCCCGGAGCGCTCGGAGCGGGTTTTGATGATCTGCGTCTTCACGCCTCGGAAAATCAAAACACGTAGAATCCGGCACACTGATCCTGCATGCCGGGGTGCTTCGGGGCGTATTGGGGCAAGCATAGACCTGGGCACAGGTTCTGGGGCTGCTCTTGCTTGCAGCTTGCTCACACAGTTGCGCCACCAGCATGCCGACTTTTGAATTCAGTCGGGCAGCTGCGGCTTTTTGCTCCTGGCCAAAAATGACAAGCAAGAATTGCAAGAGCTGACGAAGGGGCGCAATGTACAAGCCACGCTTTACTGCAGTCCTGGGTCAAGCCACGCAAGTCAGCTTCCCCCAACTCCGGCAACACCTGCGCAAAGTTAGCGCTCCGATCACGAAGCCAGCCTCAGCCCTTTGACCCGCCTTTTTGGACGCACCGCATCCCATGGTGGCATCGTCTACAGCTCTTGCCGGCCACTTGATGATCAGTAGAATAGCTTTGGCTAAGCAAGACGCTCCACCTTAACAATGTGTAAGCCCCGAAAACCTTCAATTTCACCTGCGGCTCGACGTGAATGTTCCAGAGCCCGCAATGTTTGCGTGTGAGCTTTAAACGCTGAAAGCTGGAAGCAAGATGGCACGGTTCATGCTGTGATTGCAGGGTGTTGCGGCAGCAACAGCACTCCTGCCACTGCCAAGCAGCATGCATCATGTGGATGGTGATCAGGGCGCCAAGCCATTGATGGACAATGCTTTCCTTTTCAGTTTCCCTTGGCAAAGTCAGAAAGAAACCCAAATGATCTGTTGTCAGGAACGCCTACCAAGTTGACAATTCCAATATGAAAAGTGGGGTCTTGCCCGACCCTCCTCCAGCTTGGAAGTAGCCTTATCCTCCCGGCTCAGGAGGTCATAACCTAAGCATTCAGCTCGTTTGCAAGCCAAGAGTGATCCAAAGGCGACGGCCATCGTTGTTGTAGATTTCAAGGTAGGAAATGAACATGCCTCAGGACATCCTACTCGGATCACATCATGTGCCGCGGTTTTTTAAGGGGGTGGCGGTAAGTGCCGTCCTTCCGGTTCTTGAATTCCTGCAACGCGCGTGGCGAAAGCTGCCCTGCGTCTGCATATGTATGCCAATGCAACCGATGCCCTCCTCAAAGAGATACGCGATGGTTCGAGGTATCAGCCCTCGATCTTGATATCGCTCAGCGCCTCTGGGGCCCGAAAGGCAAAGCAAGTGGCGGAGGTCAATTGACAAGCACATGTGGCATGACGAGGTCGGTACCAAACATTGGCGCGCAACGCTTTTCACCGAAGTTGCCCAAGCTGTGCGCGTCAGACCACTCGCACGCTGCCTTGCTGCGCAATGCAGCTCAGAAACCCCCACCCGGCTTCATGGCTCTGCAGCACAGGCTTCTGCCAACATTGCTTTCCCACTATAAAAGCTTGAAAGCTATACCATCTGCAATCTTCAAACCGCAAGCTCTGTCAGCATCGGCATTTTGTGCCCAAAACAATGCTTTCTTCCATGCCAAGCCCCCCCCAAAAAAAATGGTCAAACCTCCCTCTGGGCGCCTTCTGCCCACCTGCCGCCTTGAAGCCGAAGCCTCGCTCAGCGCCCAGCGCTCAGCGCCCAGCGCTCAGCGCTCAGAGCTCAGCGCCGCCGGGACCGGGACCTGCGATCCCTCGACCGGCTCCGCCGCCGGTCCCGCTCTCGGGACCGCCGGGGGCTGCGCCGTTCCTTGCGCTCCTCCTGAAGGGGGCTGCGCGCACCCCCCGCCCCCAAGCAGGAAACATGGATGCAGAGGCTTGCTGGCGCCAAGTGTCGCGTGAGACCCGCCATGCCACAAGAGACATGGGACTGGATGATGGGATTTAAGAAGACCCAAAACGATCATGATGGGGGAGCTCGGTTCCCACGGGTGACTCTCTCATTCTAGTTAAGAGGTGCAGACCTGTGCGGCCCAGGTCCGATACGCCGATACCTGCCAAGCGTCATGGTAACTTGCAGCTTCCCTCATGGAAACCCGCAGTGTGGATGTTTAGCATCCACAGGTTGCAGGGGTCGCCGCAGAGCCAAAAACAACAACTCCAAACTGCCAAACGAGTTGACATGATGAGACCGTTTGAGCCAAACCTCGGCAAACACAAGGAAACTTCGCCCAAAGAACCTTCAAATTCAACAGTTCATTGATCAAATCATTGTGAACATGCATAGGGTTATTTATCTCCTGCATGGTAGAGATGTGCTGACCTCAGTTCCTCAAAACAGAACACTCGGTGGCTTCGCCCTAATAGATGGACACGTGCACTCATATGTGCTCTGCAGCATCTGAAACTTGCACATCATGAGGATTTCGGGGGTCCAACGTTCAGCCCATGACTTGGAAGTTCTCAACAAACAGCCAGGCAGCTTTGCACGAGGCATCCTATAGCAACAGTTTTATGGAGGGTGGGGGGGTGAAGGTGAGTGGCAGGCATCAGTACCTGCATATGTCATGTGTGTAATGCACATGCATTTATGCAAATACATCTATAAATAAACAAACAAACAAACAAATAAATAAATAAATAAATAAATAAATAAATAAATAACTGAACAAATAAATACTATATATATATATATATGCGGGTGTATAAATTCATAAGCATGTAGTACATTACATATATGTGTGTGTGTGACTCATGTTGTGTACGCCCATCAAGTTGGCCAACCCGGTCCTTGCCCTCCTCCTTGCGTTCACGGCCGCTGCGCGTTGGCTCCCCCCGGGCGGCGCGCTGGGCATTGTCCAAATAGCCTCGCGGAAAAAAAGGGGGCGAAAGGCCTGAGAGCAAAAATGGTTCGTTCGAAACCCAAGCAGACATGGAAGATACCCAAAAGCAAGGTCTCAATACGCAACCAGCGGATCTCTGGGACATTGGCTGACTCGGACTACTTCTACAAGTAGGTAGCAGGGGAAGGCTGAAAATTTCGTTGGCACCAAAGGCGGGCGACCCCCCCCTTTGAAAGGAATAGCGCTGGCAGTGTTGTTACGTGCACGTTTCTGCTTACCCTGGGGACTTGAAACGCATGCGAGGCTTGTTGTTTTTTTTCGAGCAGCGCTGACTCCAAAGGCACAAAGGCGCTACTGTACTTCTTGTTGTGAGAATGCATGTGGTTCCAGTGCAGGTTTCTTGGGGCCAGGGGCACGCGCCCCCAGGGCGATGCCCAAGCCAAAGGCTTCCGCAAGAAGGCGGGAAGCAACCAAACACCCACCAGGACTGTCCCCCCTCTTTATGCAGCCAAAACCCGCCGCATTGGAAAAACAACAGGCCCCCCCCCACCCCCATGCGGCCAAGGCGCTGCCGGGCGCGGCGGGCCCCGGTTTGCCCAGGGACTGGCCCTCCCCGAGCTTCCGCAGCAGCAGCATGGCCATGGCCGAGGGCCGGTTCGACACCTCCAGGTGCCGCTCGATCTCTATGAGGTACTCCTGGCGCATGGGTGGAGCGGCTTGGGCTGACATGGCCAGGGTTGGTGGAGTGGGCTGCGGGCAGATGTGGGGCAGAAGGATGGAGGTTGGGAGAGGCTTCAGCGAAACCAGTTCGTCATGACCATGCCGCCATATCAACAGCGTGCCCCTTCCACGTCATGGTTGCAGCTGAGCTCCGCTGTAGCCATGGTTACAGCCTACTGACCAAACTAAGCGGGTTTGCACATCCAGGCAGCGGGCGGACAGGCTGGGTGTGTGGGGAGTGGATGCGAGCGGAGGCAGCACGTGCAACAAAAGTTGGGAGGAATCGGGCATCTTAAAATGTTTAGAAGGGGATGCCAAAGGAGGCATGAACAACAGTGGGTTGTTCACAACCCCGAGCCTTGCGCCTGGCATCGTCATACCGTGCCAGAATGTCTGCGAGCTTGGATTCTGCCTGCTCATCCAGCTTGTACTTCTTGGATACCGCAGCGAGGTCCTTGTCAGCCTTGACCTTGCCGACAAAGGTCCCTTCCTCCATCTCGCGCATCTTCACCACCAGTAATCCTGCCGGACTGTTTGCGCGCTCCAGCACGTCATAAAGCCTTTCCAAGTCCGCCACGAAGGTGTCCTGCCTGTTCTTCATAATGTCGCTGAGCCGGCGCGCGTGCCGCTCTTCAATGTGAAAGTAATCACACAACTCCTGCACATCGGGGTCTATCATGTTGCTGTCCGCCGGCTCTGCGTTGGATGTACCCTGAGTGATGGCGGCAGAAGGCTGCGCCGGGTTCGCCAGGGTCGCCAAGATCAGCGGGTTCGCAGCCAGCAAGGGGTTGGCCGCCAGCAAGGGGTTGTTGAAGAACCCCCCAAAGTCCGGCGCTGGGGCTGGGGGTCCCGGCGGTGGGGGCGGCGGCGCATCGTCGCCCTCCGGACCTCCATGCCGCTTTGCACGGCCCATGGCGATCTCGGGCAGTGACCCAGAACGGGGGCAAGAGTCGTTGCTGGCAAATCTAAATCACGGCTTACCATGCAGTTTCAACTGCGGCCTGCATGCTGTTGGGTATGCACCTGGGTGACTAAGAATGGCGACCTGTCCTTGAATTCAAAAACGGTGCTTGCCGGGCGCATCCATCACTGAACATGCAACAGCAGAATTCCGCCGCCTGATGCCATGAACACACGCAGGTGGCGTCACCAAACAGCCTGCCTCCTGTGATAGTGAAGGTCTTGCCGCTCCCCGTCTGGCCATACGCGAAGATTGTGCCGTTGATGCCCTGCAGAACCTCAGAAAAAAAGTAGGCTACCCAGAATATCTGGGCAGCTATCCTCCTAGATTCGAAAAACAAACAAAGGCGAAAACAACTCAGAACAAATTCCCCCGCATGATTTGGAATACAGCAAGCGGGCGAAACTGGAAGGTTGCCAGGCAGCATCTTCAATGACCGGCTTTGCAACCACGTTGAACACATCCTCCTGGAGCACAAGCAAGACACAGCCAAGCCAAGCAGATCCAAAGTGAATAGTTGTACAATGGGCTTTAGCAAAAGGACTGAACGTCATCGGCCATTTGGTCAACGAAACGACCCTCCGAGAACAGCTTGGATCGCAGAGTTGGCCCAAGCCACATGTTCAAAGGAACTCCAGTTGTGGAGGCTATGTTGCAGGTCGCCGTCGCCATGCTACACAGATACCCACCGCTGACACACGGCCTATCCAATGCTTGCGGAGTTCCTGCGAGATGTTCATCGAAAGAATGCCATCAAACTTGAACTTGTAGTGGGTCTTGCTGTTGTTGACCTCTCCATCCTGAGATCGGCTCTGGCGTCAGTTTGCAGGGATGCCATACAGCTGCGAACCCGAGGAGGGAACTGGTGTGGTCTTGTCGTGTGTGAATTCAATTATCCTCAGTGGCTCATACGGCCTGTGCTGAAATCTGCGCTGCGGCACGGTCACATGCATAGCTTTGTGGGAGCCAGGGTGCGGGGAAACCAAGTCTGCTTTGGTTACGCACACCATTGAGGCTCAGGCCCTTCATCTTGCTTCAGGCTCAGCGCCTGGCCAAGCAAAGTGTTGGGCCAGCCAGGGGTAGAACAGCAGTCGGAGATTCAAGGCGGCTCAGTACTGGAATGACCAAAACTCTTTATGTGGGCCATGGTAATGGCTCCAATGGCACTGCTTGCAAAAGTTGTGTAAAATTCCTCTGGAGGTGCCAACCCCCATGTCAAACGGTGTGTCACTGTCATTGAAACCATCTTGTCTGTACAACTGCACTGCGCAGTGACGTCAACCACGCGGGTGGTGGGGGGGGGGGGGGGCACTCCTACACATCCACTTCAACATAACTGTGAATGCTCTCACGTAAAGTTGTCGTGCTCTTGACAGTCAGTGAAACCACAAGCCACCCATCCTCATCGTCTACCCCTGCGAAATCGATGCTAATATGTGCATGTCCGCCTCCAGAATGGGAACATGGGAACATTCAAAAGACACATGCGACTGCTGCCTGCCCTCCAAGTCCCACCCCGCACCTTTGAAGGTCGCGCGCTAGGCCCTGGGCCAAGCCCCCGCTCCTTCCCTCTGTGGGGGGTGCCCAGCCGAGAAAACGAATCAAAGACATGCGATGTGCATTTGCCTGACACGGCTACACACGGCTACACGATATACATTCAGATGAAAGCAAGCATGTTGATTCATCAGGGTTTACTCGCCTGGCACGGCTACATGCAGGACACAAAAAGCGGTGTGAACAGGCACCAAAAACCACATGCCGGAAGATGTGCGGTGTTACTGCTTAGGAACATCGGTCCTCAGCAATATGGGAAGACACTTAGACTGCAGGTTTGCACTGCTCGGACGCCGAACCTCAAACCATCAAGATAACTGAGCAGATCGAGCGGTTGACCACGCCCACCCCTGTTTCTGAACCTCCCCTGTTTCTGAAACGTCCCCGTGCTGGGCAACGAGCGCACTCGGAAGAAGACTTTGATGTTCGAGGCCTCAAGACGCATGAGACCAACCCAATCTGGGATGCAATCGCATTTTTTACATATGTCCAAAACCTGACATTGGATCTTCATCATGATGACCTCCTTTCATACCCAGGTGAGCTCGCCATAAAACGGACAGACGTAAGTGCACTGCCAAGAATCAAGCCCGCAACATGTGTGACGGCTAACTCCCCGAGACGCTTCGCAAACAGACGGAGCAAGACACCTTCATTGCAACCAGGTGCCCCGACCACCATGGCCACTTCGTGTCCATGGCTCTTTGGCACCAGCCAGTTTGCGAGTGCCCAGTCAATTCCGTCACGCAGTGTCCATCTTCAGAAAGTGAAGTGTGACTCGTTTCATCTTTGGCTTCTCCTGTATTTGTCCTTAGGCGACAGCTGTGTGCGAACTGCCTTCGCATCTTCTTGGCCGTTCGTGCGTGGCATCGCCTACTTTTGGGTTCATGCAGAGGACGCCCAAAATGTCTGGCGCAAGCACTGAGAAGGGTTGCAGCGTTTGAATTGGGAGCTGACCATACCGTAGCCAAGTACGCGATTCGGCTTGAAGGCCGCAAGGAGCGAGGCTATTTCCTGGTAACTTGGAACATCCGTGCCAGGTGCGGGCTACCCAAATTCAATCAACACCACACACGCCTTTTTGAGCATTGACATGCCATATGCCACAGGCCTCAACTACACAGCCAAGAGGCAACAGGATGGCAGTCGCTGACCATTAAACTAGGTGATTGAGCAACTTGTCCAAACCGTCAAGAGTTCTGCCTGCTGCCGCCTGAATTAGCGAGGCACTTGCTGCCACGATGTGGGTTTTTAGGCAGCGCTGTCCAGGACGCTTTGTCGTGGGCACGTTGTGAAACCATCTGAGCCAGCAAGGGGCGTCAAGCCACAGCCTGGCCAAAGCAACATGTTCGCAATCGTGAACGAAAAACAAATATGTCGCTGACCCGCCTATGACATCACCAAGGGCAAGGCAATGTTCAGACCCTGACAACCAAATGATGCCCCCATGCATCTAGAAACACACCAAACTTTCATTGGGCGGAGTCAAAACTTGGAACCATCCCAATTGATATGGTTACATCGTGGTTGTGGTTTAGATACCATCCCATCCGCCTCTTGCTCGGCTCCTCGGCTGCCTGCGGAGTTGAGAAAGCAGGCTGTATGCGCATTATGTGAAGCCAGGGATTCGCAAGCATGGAAATACAACGCAAGGCATCCGCATGATTTGCGGTCGCACGGCATCCGCAATATGTCGATATTCCCATCAACTTGTGTGAACCGTTCAGAACTTGAACTCCTCGAGCGGCCCCCAAAAGTTGAACATGCACATCGCTATGGGTTTTGCAAGTTGCGATAGCTTTTCTGCAATATTCATGCAAAATCCAGGGCTAGTGTGCAGCGGCAAGAAACCTGCAACATGTTTGGGCAGGGAGCACAGGCTCATTTTGGAAGACACCTGTCCTCTTGGAAAGAGAGTGCGCTTCCGTGTTAGTTGGCGGGAGGGTCAGAAAGGTGTCCAGCCCGGTAGCCATCGGCCCTGCCTGGAGATGGCGCTGGCATGTAGGGACCCGGCGGGGTGTGCAAAGACACCTGGCTGGCAGAATCGACTGAGTCGGCACGACAAACTGCCAAAGCACGCACCACCCGCAAGAAGCCATCCAAAACTCCATGCCTAGGACCAACTTCCATGTGCCCGGGCAGCGAGACTGGCCTGTAAGCCAACGTGCTTTGCTTTGCACGGAGTACAAGATTTCGCAGTATGTCCTAACAGTCATGAAGTCAACAATTTCGGACATACATGGTGACATCTCTTTGTGACTATCTGACAGCCGGTGCTGCCTTCCTTTGCCATAACGCGTTGTAGCATCTTCCGAATCAATTCTGCAGATTGCATCGCCATTGTAACACAGAGTCTTTTAAACTGCTTTACGCCTTAGGTGATAATAATCATCCTTGGGCGCGACGCTAACTTTGAGGCGTCAAGCTGGTGGTTTTTACATGCTGAAGCAGGTTGTTGGACAGTACTTCTGAGGCCCCAATTTCGGGGATTAAACTCAAGCGGGTCCAACACCCACAGGCCTTGTGGAATCCAGCCCACCCCCCCCTCCTTGTCCAGCCTTGTCCTCCCGGCCTACACGTTCCTGCCAAGTCCTGCACAAATGGATGCTCCAGTGATGCCCCTCAGAGGGTTACCGTGGTCGTTTCAAATCCTTACAACCCAGCTGCCCTAACATGCGTTGCAAGCCACACCTATGGTGTAAACGGATCGGCAGCCGTCACTATGCTGCCAAGATGCCGATCCATGCCGGGCCCACCTGGCACACCAGGACCTCTGGCGCGTGGAGATGGCTGGGCCATTGCGCTCGAGTGGCTGGCTTGGTAAGGTGCCCCAGTTGGTATGATGCCAGGATGCGGCTGAAGAAAGTGATTGCCTTCAGAGGTCTTTTGGGCACTGGCTGTCACACCAGGGGCATTCTGCTTTTGTGTGCAGCCTGAAGTCCCCATGCCACATCTATCCCTGCCTCGGGGAGTTCTTGGCGCGCAGGATCCCTGAGTACCTGCTGAAAACTTGCCATGCGGCTGACAACTCCTCACGCGACAAACGTCAGCAAGCCTCTGAGGGAATCGCTGCCATCGGGTGCAGCAAAGCCTTCCTGGGACAGAGAGCTGAGCGGAAGACAACGTGCAAACGTAGCATGGTTTCCCTTGTTAGTGGCGTGCGCCACTGGAAAAACTACGGAAGGGAAGCCTCTGTAGCGCAAAACCATATCAACCTAATTGAACGTAAATGGAATGTGCTCGCTGCGTCACTGGTGGCCTCATGTTTAGACATTCTTGTCTGGCAGCCCTTTGGGAACCTAACTACGTGGCTTTGCCAGGAAGATGGACATGGTGCGTCCAAACTGTGCGCAGGCATGCTCAGGCAAAAGAAGCAGCTGCCTCCTTCTCAGCAACCAGTCTTAAAAGCCGTCGTCGTCACGATAATCTGGAGGGTAGTCTCTGTAATTGTCACAAGAGTCATAGCTCGTCATCATAGTAGCCATCGTCGTCATAGTAGCCATCGTCAATTCGGCCGAATCTGCCCAGAAGGCCACCAAGGGCTTTTGCTTTGATCAAATCCGCCCGCCACCAGACCCGATTCGCAAAAGCCACACAATAGTTCCACACGTCCTGCGCATACTTATGGCAGTTGAAGTCTCGTACGTCGTACCTGCCTTCATGCTCAGATCCACTAGCAAAAGCAGTAATATCTCCCAGTACGGTTGGAGAAGTCCAAATCCATCCTCGCACTTGAAGATCGTTTCCATCAACAGGTCCACGAAACACGTCACCATTCGCTGCACCGCAGCTGAACTCCACTCTGACTTCATTGCCTTCGACATACTTCTGAGTGCACCAAACGCTGCCGTTTGACAGGGCCATCTCCAGAATAGAGTGGCAACCAAAAGAGGCAGAAAAGGATGTGGATGCTCCAGATAAGCCTTGCGAGCCTCTCATTGCACAGGTTTTCCAAGTAATCCTCGCCAATGTGGCACGGCTGTCCGCATCATCAGGAGCAGCCAAAATATGCCGAGACGAGCTGGAAAATATGGACTGCATCTTCGCTCAAACAGTTGAGATGCCTTGAGCTCAATGACCCAATTGCAACGCCTTGAACTCAATGGCTGCGAAGCAGAATCATCGAATTCCTAGATTTACCACGGCCATAGTCCAAAATACAAAGGCAGCATCGTGGGAAAGAGTCGTGGAAGAAATGAAACAGAACGCTGGCGTTGACCACCTTGGCTCACCTCGTGTACATTTTGGGAGCTGCGTTTGGGGTGTCATCTGTGCGCCAAAAATCGGGAGATCCCCAGTTTTCTTCACCCAGCCGTCCCTCACCACAAGGGAAATCGAAGCACGAATGGAATTTCAGGGACCCTTCAATTCCAATTGAAAGGGGGCGAGCGCGCGCCACAAGCAGCGCCATTGCCATCACCCCCAGCTGCGCCGAGTGGCTCTGGGCGATGGGCTAGGGCTGGGCAGAAGGCCTGGGCTGTCCTGTCTGCGGCCTCGGCCGGTTGTTGCCCCATGTCATGCACCAAAGGCTCCCAACCATGCAAACGGAAGCAGGCCTCCGACGACCAGGTTTCCAACCAGTTCGAAGCCCTGTGCAGTTGACAAAAAGGGGTCAGGGGTACCACCCGCGAGATGTCCAGAATCCTCATTGTGCTCATGGAGCGAACAGCATCCTTCTCGTCACTTTGCGCAAAGCCCTTCTATGGTCTTACCATGACACACACAAAAGCCATCCATTTCAGAGCCTCACCCATCCAAAAAAGCCAAACCCAAATGCCCCGCTCACCCAGGATTGACAAAGAAGTCCAAGAGGGCTGTGACGGCTGCATGTCCACTTCTGTGATGCCGCTAAAAGGCCTTCGCAATGACTAATTCTTTATAAGGGGCAAATTTCCTGAGATCACAGAAGGGGGGGAAACGTGTTTCTTCCGCAATTGATTCCAGAAGGTCCGCCTCCAAAAAATGCCAAAAAAGGAAGCATCGCTTTGAAGGGTACTGAAGAGACCTGTTTCATGGGTACTCAAATTTCCCCTTTTGGGTGATTTAAGCACGAGCGTTCGTCTTAACACGAGTTCATTTTTGGTGGGGCCGATTCAATGCTTCAGGATTCGCAACATGGGGGAACCCACAGGCTTGCTTTCCTTTCGCAAGGCCACAAAACGACACACCCATTCGGCCACGTGACCCGCGGCGATCCGCGCCGTCGACTCCGAGGCCCGTGCCGGACTGTGGGCTGGACCGCGCCGGACTCCCGGCGGAGCGTTGGCTCGCGCTGCGGCTCCGCAGCTTGGGGTGGAAGGTGCACTCCTCGCGCGGCAGCGGCGAAGCGGCGAGGCGGGCGACACCTCTGATTCTTGGGTGGGGTTTGAAGGTACCCGTTTCGGATTTAAATGCTTTGCTGCAACGACAGGGGCACCGCCTATTTTGCAGGTCTCATGCTTGACAAATACCCGTTTGTTGACCCCCAACCTGCCTTTCGGGCCAACCACGAGGAAGCAGGGTCCTTCATTGAAACGTGGCCTGATTTATGGTTTCCCTTTGCCAACTGCGGCTGACCTATGTATCAAATGCAAGTGCCTCCTGAACCACCTACATCCTCAAGCAACTCTGGCAATGAAATGTGGCAAATGTGGCACAAAACTGCTACAACCACCCTGTTGTCCTACAAATTGATCAGTCAACTAACATGGGCCCTTTATAAAGAGAAGCAACTGTGCCGAAGCCCTCAAACATCAATCAACTGCAGTTGGCCCCTCAACCCCTTCCCCCCCCCCCCCACGGATTTCATTTTACAAAGGATCCTTTTTCGGCTCCGTCCGTCCCTCTCGCAACCGCACTCCTGCAGCTCCGCCTCCCCTGCCAGGATGCGGCGCCTGGGTTTCCAGGATTGGCGCAAAGGAGGACATATTAAGAAAGCAGGTCCCCTGTCCAGAGGTGAACCAAAACTCCCCCCAACACATGGCTGGCTCAACCTCAAATGTGAGGGACTAAGTATGTGTGCATATAGATGCCCAACACTAAGGTAGTCTTCCCATATTTCCGCATTTGTTCGAGAGCCCGTTGTTTGATGGCCGACATCTGACCTTCTAGCTTGTGGACCTTCTGAAGGGGCGAGGGGGGCGAGTAGTCCTCGGTTTAAGGCCTGCACTCTTCCATGCGAGCATCTCGTATATCGCTTTCACCTGAGACAAGCTCTTGCACTCAAAGCGATGTCTCCAAAGCTGAAACTAGAAACCCCCGCTCCGGTTCCAAAAAAGACAACAATGGGAAACCAGTGGTAGCCGCTAACAAGCGGAACCAGGGATTCGCTCATCAGTGACGACCCTGTTTCGCGCTCCAACCAGTGCGCCGCCAATTGACCAACCAGTTTCCCTCAAACGCGCAACCCAACTTGCGCAGAAACCGCTACACCTGCGCATGCGCGACTGGGGCTCTGGCGATATAGCTGCTCATGGAGGGGAACCTGGCCACAAGTCGTTCCCTTCGGTACACTGAAGCAAACCAAACTGCAGCGCACGAAAGGCGAACAAAAGTGACACCCGGTGCCCGCAAATGGATTGAAGGCTGCTGTCATGCACCCGAGGGTGTACCCCGAATCGCCCCTAACCGTGCACACACTGTAATTCTACTGAATTGGCAATTCATAGCCCAAAAGGTCCAAGTTGGGGATGCCCCAAGTGGTATTTGAAGGCCGCGGCATTTGCCCTATGAAAAATGCCCCGCGAGGCTACGGGCCAAGGCACACTTCGCGAGCGACGCTTCATGGCCAGGCGCGCGCCTAAGCGAACAAAAACGAAGCGCCACGGAAGGCTGCGAGTGAACCTCCCTGGCAGGGCCAAGGTAGACTTAAACCTAGGGGTTCTTCAACAGGGAGGACATGAACCACTGGGTTTAAGTCTACTTTGCGTCAGGCAAAAAGTGGAGCATTGCTCCCTGGACTCTCCCCGTGCCCCCAAGAAAAGGGCCACCCCTACACCGCGAACACAAGAACCATCTGTGACCCTCTTAGCTTCGCCCCTCGCGGCACCGGGGGCAGTGCTATTCTGATCAATCTTTGGCACAGGAGGCTCGCACTTGGCAACCTGGACGCGAACCCCACCAGGCGTCATTGATAGTCTTGATGGAACATCTCCTCCGTTCACAAAGCCTAAAGTTAGGCCCAAGAAAGCAGGTATTTGTCCATCCCTCTCGAAAAATCGTGTTGGTCAAAACGCAACATGCTCCGTTGCCCTTACTGCGACTAATCACCATGCAAAGTACACATCCAGCCTTGCCAATCTTGGCGCTCCTCTGCGTGAACAGATGCGCGGTCGGCTCAACAGCCTGCATCTCAGCCCCTCCCAGTTTCGCATTTCGAACCCCGATCGCTCACTTTCATTCAGCTTCAAGAATCTTGCCTGACCCTGGGGCTCCAAGTCATGTCCCTTTGAGCCCACGACGTGTTGACGCTGGTAGTCCAAAGCGGCACCTCAATTCAGCAAGTGTGTCTTGGCACAACCTGCCCTCAGCCAGACCTACAGTCATGCGAGGCTGGTGTGTTCCTCTTTCTGCTGAGCAGAAGTTTTAGATTTTCCTTGACTCTCGAGGGGCTCGACTCTTCCAGTCTCTCTCAGTTTCAGGTCCCCAGCAGAAGGCTGCAAACTCCAGCTGCTGGCCGCTGGAGTGCAGGAAAGAAGCCTCAGCAAATGAGAAAAGCTTTCACCCTGACTCCACAGGCGTCACGGTCCCTGGCCATCGGCTGAAGGAAGGCGCAAAGGTCTGCATCCAAGCCTGGGGCTCACGTTCAGCGCACAACGAAGCGCCCACGAACTCTCATGGCAAATTTCCAGCTGAGATCAAGGCCCTCGAGGCACATGGTCTCTGCTTTGAGCTGGCCCTGGAAGGCGCATGCAACAGAATCCAACTGGCCCTATTTTTTGTCCGACCCCAAGTGGTAGCCCAACAAGAGCGCCAGTTTCGGACGTTAAACATCCATGAGGTGCCAACTTATGACGGCTGGCAATGGCACCGGATTCCTCACTGCAAGGAGCTACAGCACAGCTGATCAGTTCTCGCTGCTGGCGAGCAGGCAAGGTCGATGCACAAGAAAATGGAGTGATCCGGATTGTACTGCTACGATTCTGGCACAATGTCAGCTGTATTCTGGTGCTGGATGCAAGTGACTGATCGCACCATGCAATGGGTCAAACTATGGCGGTTCAAGAAGCTCTCGTTTCAAGCATCCAATGGCGATGTTTGCTGGGCATGCACTTGGGCTCGCTGAGTGAGTTTGTGGGGGTGCCCCTTAGACAAACTCCAAAAAGGCATTCGACAAGAATTGCTCATTCCTCTCTACGTAGGCGTGACACGTACCGAAACATTTGTCATTCCTCCCCATGAAAGGCAGCGCCCGGTCCTGCGGATCTATACTGGTCAGCCAGTCAAACAGCTGCCTGTATGTCCGCTGCTTCGTCTCCTGAAAGCACATAGGTGATGACCACCCCCTTGACCCCCTCACCAGGCATGGAGTCCAAACAACGGCACATGATATCACATGATGCATAAACTCCCCGAATGCCTCATGTTTGGACTCACGATCCATGGCAGCCACCATCATCGGCATCGCCAGTACCGCCGTCTTCCCATAATCGCTTCTACAACAACAGCAGCAGCAGCAGCAGCAGCAGCAGCAGCATGAACATTGTCCATCTTCCGGATTAAGGTTAGGATCAACATCTTTGTACTTCAGGTCTAAAGTTGGGGATCCTTCCGCCTCAATCTTCACCATGGCCGCAATCCCCTTCTTACGGGTCGATGCGACGGGCTCGTTTCCACATTGAGGCCACTTATTGGGACAAGTCTGCACTTTTTGCGGCCAGCCTATGTTCGGCAAAGGTAGCCTGGAAAGGAATACGCGGGCGGGTCGTGAGCAACTTGGATCTGCTGTGACGAGGCTGGTCCATGTCAATCGCCATCTCTCCTCAAAGAGCTGCTGAGAGTTTGCCCCAACTTTGGGCATGGACGGCCTCAGAAGGGCAACCTGCAAACATACTGCTGGAGCACTGGAAATGGAGTCAATGCACTTGATGGACTACTGGGGGCGGGGAATTTTAAACCATAATATTTCAAGGGTGCCCCTTCCCATCCCTGAACCGCCAGCACTTAACTGGCAGCGGCAGCCAATGGCTGAATGTTGTACAAGGCCGCGGCTGCTCTGGCACCTGGCAAGAGAATGGCAGGCGCTTTGAAGAGCAAACGCGAAGAACATTGCAAACATCTTCAAACTCGCTGCATCACTGTTTTGGTCACCGGTGAAGAATTTGGGTTTCGGCGACGCATTTGACAATAGGGACACGTGGGCCTAATGGGCTACCGTCAAAATCACTTGTCTTCGTCAAGAAGATTTCTTTGTCGCTATCGTTTTTGGTGTTTTACACAGCGTTTCTACGCATGTCTTGCACCGCGCTGATTGTGCACTCCGGGGGGAAGCATCAAAAGCATCCAACACGCCAAGTTCAGTTCTCCGAGACAATAGCAGCCAACTGTAGCACAAGTCAAGTAGCCGAAGTACACTTCCGCAGCTCCAGCTCGAAAATCATATTATGGGAATACCGGAATTCTGTAGCTGCTTCACCCGTCACATGGCGCTCATTGGTGCAGTGCATGACGGCAATCCCCAGTCTGCCAAATTCAAGGAACAAGCTGTTGCTGCTCAAGTGAAACAAACTGATGGCGGGATCAGTGCACGAAGTGGTAAGGCAGCAAGGATGGTGTCCTTTCATGTCACTTCGGGCCCCCTAGATACTGCAAGTAGACCAACCACAAGTCAACGCGATGGACATAGCCCAACGGCCCCAGCCCCAGATGGCCCCCAGGGCCTGTGAGGAAGCAGCTGCTTTCCCCCGACCTGCGGAAAAGCGCGTGTGAAGTGGTAGGTCTGTGGGGTTCGCTTTCGGGGGTCACTGTTCGACAACCTTCACGGGCCGTCGCGTCCTTCCGCAAACCGGGGCGCTGAAGGTTTCCTTTCAGAACAACCGGTGCAGGAGGACCCTCACATTCGCATACCCGCCCAACTTGAAGTCCCGAACCATTGCGCGGTTGCAATCACCATGTCGGGGCTACGGCCATGCTCGTACAGGAAGTCTCCGATGGGAAGGCCCTCCTTGTTCCGCTCCTCGGGTGCGCGCGATTCTCCATTCGGACTGGTCAAAGTGCGGCAGCTTTCAGGCTGCCTCCCTGACTGCTAACACTTGGAGACAGCAAACTGGCCCTCTGAACCGGTGCGGAATCCAAGGCACGTGGTCAAACAACGAAGCGCACATGGCCAGTTTTGGGGCGCGAGGGACAACCCTAAGTGTCACTGAGCGTTGTGCTTGTTGAAACCACGTCAAATGCCCTGACCCCAGCGGATGAATCTGAGTGATTTTGACGACTTGAAGACCTGGTTGTACCCAGACTGAGCTTGCTGCCACAAGCGGCCCACGTCCAGTCCGCGGATGAAACCTCAAGACTTCAGCTGGGGGGTCCAAACAAAAATGAATCAGGCCTGTCAACCCCCCTTCCCCCCTTTGGCACACGAAAGAGGCCACAAAAGAAAGACAAGCGATGTTAGTCCAGCCACCCCGCATAAGCTTGGGTTGGCCCAGCCCCTGAGCTCCCGGGCTCGGGTTGTCCGCCGAGCTCCTGCCAGCCAGCTGGGCGGCAAGAACCAGACCCAAGCAGCACATTCTGAAACTCCGAATCCGAAATGTAATCAAGAAGGAGTTCATCCCTACCGACCAAATGTACCTAGGTTGGTCGGTGGCCTATCTCATAAAGTCACTTCACACCCATCACAATGTCTGGCATCAAAGTTCAAGATGCTTGAGACTTGGAAGGAGCACAACAACCCCAAAAATCCTGGGGGAGTCCAAAGCCCGCTCACACGCACAAGCCTCGCCAGAGCCGCAGGAGCGCGCGTCCGCACGCACGCGATGGCGCGCCGGTTCGGCCCGCGCCTTAGACTGTCGCTCAGTCTCCTGCTTCTTCCGCTGCAAGGAGACCCATCCTCGGCCCAGTTGCCTCCGGCATGTCAGTCCTGCCAGATCGCAATAAAACCTACCACTAAGAGGGGGAAGAAAATCAGTAAATGCATCAAACCTATGGGTAACCTTAAGATTTGTCGCTCTATGTGATTAATTTGCATTTTGACGATAACTCACCTGTCCCTCACCATCGGCCAACTGCTTAGCCTTTGTGCTTGGCCGCGCGCGGTCTGAGTAGCTCTTCGAATACGCCAGCCGGTTCACAAAGTCCTGTCCGCTTTTGGTCATGAACTTTCAGGCCGGAAAAGTTGAGACCGCCCCCGCCAAGTTCAAAAAGTCCTTTCGAGGCAGCGGTGAAGAGCTCTCAAGCCAAAAACTCGTTGCCGCAAGTGGCGTCCTCTCTCGTCTCGCCGTCGCACCGTTCCGTGCCGATATCCGGGTGGAAGGTCACACCCGGAGGCAGGGCCTGAAACAAACACCGGGCTGCTCCGGCGGCAAACCGCCATTTCCGGAGGCTGTTGGGTTTGCAACTGATTGAAAGGGATGGGGTCGCCTCACAATGGATATGTGTCAACATAGCGGGGTGCGGCTGGATGGATGCAAATGGATGTGCTGCTACATCCTACAAACCGAATAGATGTTACACGCGATCTTCCTTTGGGGTTGTGTTAGAGGGAAACCGAACGAAAAGCCAGCATTTGTTTGATCTACCTATCGAATCAATCGATCCGTCTTGTCTTGTCTTGCCCGACGTGATCTTCTGTTGTCAAACAGTATCCTATGCCTATCCTATCCTATCCTATCCTAGCCTAGCCGTCGGTCTCTGTCACCCTACTTGCCAATTCTTGCCCAATAAATCTGGTTTGTCCAATCTATCCCATCAACATGATCTATCGAACATGTCTACTCTATCCTGTCCTTCTATCGAATGTATGCCGAATGTGTATTCCATCTGACCCGTCTAATCGATCTAATCTATGCCATCTGCCTGCCTGCCTGCCTGCCTGCCTGCCTGCCTGCCTGCCTGCCTGCCTGCCTGCCTGCCTGCCTGCCTGCCTATCTAGCCATCCATTCTATCTAACTACCCTCTCTAGTCTACTGCTCTCATCTGTATTCCTATTTATCTGGCTTTTCAACTGTCAATGCCTCTTTACTTCTCATCCTATTGCTTGTCGTGCCTGGTCTGAACTACCTAAATCCAACGCATATCGCATATCGATATCCTGAGGTGTGTCTGTGCACTTATTCTACAGGCGGGGACCCTCAGTTGTTCGGCGGAAAGCAGGAAGGCCTGCAGCGACTTGAAGAGCCTCTCCCGTCTCTTGAGAGCATCTTCGTAGAGGGAGTCGTACCTGCATTGTTGCTCACTTCACAGCGAAATCAGTGCATGCAGACTCTGGGGCGTCCGACTGCAAAAACGTCAAGATGCTGCTATTGGAAGGTCATCGTTATTGGAACAAAGCACAGAGGCAGCAAAGCTGTCCAGACAATGCCGGGGGCACAGGGTTCCAGTAATCTTCAGCCGCGCAATGCGCTGAGAGATCATCTCGTCGGATTTCTGGTCGATCTCAGGCTTGAACGTGCAACCTTGGCGCCGAGAATGCCAACATTCCAGGCTGTGCTGATGAGAACGTCGAAGCATGAATAAATGAATTCATCTCACGCATCCCTTTCGGGGCCGCGCCATTCAACTCGGCCTTTTCCTGCATGTGCCTCAGCCTGTCCATCTTCATCCTGCGCGGCCAAAACTTGGCCATTCGCAGACCCACTTGGCGAGCGGCTGAGAATCTGCCCCGCGCCCAGGTCCTCTTCTTCAACCCTTCGGGGTCTGCCATCGACCTCAGCGGTGGGAGAAAGGTGATCAACCAGCCGACATTGTACCAACCACGCCTGTTCTGAGCACGCTCCTTGTTCAAAGGCTGAGAAAGGCCCACAACGGTCAACGCATACATCGGGGAAGGAAAAAAGGAAAAAGGGTAAGATGCCAACAAAAAAAAAACAACGCTATGGACATCACAATGACTACATATATATATATATATATATATATGTATGAATGTATGTGTATGTGCATTACCTGGCACACATTTGTATGCGTAGCATAACATGCTGTGCCCCTAAGAGGCAAAGGCAAGCGCTCTTTCCACTTCCCGTGGCCCCAGGCCGTGCGGTGCCCTGCCACCGCCGCTGCGAGACCTGCACAGATCCATCCGTAGACTGGCAAGCCGTAGGCACCCCAAGCTACAAATATCCGAACAGCTCCAAGTGCCGTTTTCCTATATGCTTGTGTTGGTTTGCTTCTCTCCCCCCCCTCTTTCTGTCTCACTCTCTCTCTCTCTCTCTCTTTTTCTCTCTCTCTCTCTCTCTCTCTCTCTCTCTCTCTCTGTCTCTCTCCTTGTTTCACTGGTTTTTGATGACATATTGTTGCTGCAGAACTGGGAAGCGGGAAGAAGATCGCATAGAGACAGGCGGCTAGCTCGAATTGAATCAGGCCTCGATGGCTGGCTTGAACCTTAGCATGGCGCGGGCAGAAGCCAGCCTAATTGGATTGGGGCGGCTAAGTGGCTGATAACTTGACAGTGTGTAAAATGGAATTCCATCATGCCCCTCACAACCAACTGACTACACTGTTCGCAGCTAACGCCTTTATTTTACTTACTGGCTGCATTGTCCAAGGCAGTTGCGTAGCTTCCTGCTCCTCTTGCTGGCGCCGCAACTCCTCCCGCACCTCCTCAGGAAGAACGGGCTTGTCAGTCACCACCAGCCATCTCTGGCCCAGCTCAACCTCCTCCCACCGAAACCAAAACTATTGCGGGCCAACAACCAACTGCATGCGATCGGACAAAGGGGTCAAAAAGCCGTAAGCACTTCCCAACGTCAACTCAGCCTGCAGGTGTCGAAGCTTCAGCGCCCTCTTGGCGGCGTCGTTGTAAAGCCTGGCTTTAGGTCCAGTCAGGCACTTCGTGGCTTCTGAAAGCAAAGTGACAACGTGAACACATCTCATGACTCCAATGGCGCCCTTGCGCCTGTTTCCAGCAACTCCGGAGTTTGATTTACGGCAAGACATGCCACACGGCCGATTTAACGCTGTAACGCTGCCTGGTGAGCCCATGTCCAACGCAAGCAGACATCGGCCGAGCGAGGGCACTTGTTTTCCGCACGTGCGCGGCTGCCTGGCAATCCTTGCAAATTGCCTGCAGCTTCCTTCTGCTGTCCGGCTGTCACCCGCGAAAGCCGCATGGACTTCGACAATTACAACGCTTGCGTTCGCCCTCTTTGGCTCCCAAACCCATGGAGCAACAGTTTTGGCCTGCCTCGGCACACGCAAACGCCAAGTCAAGCTGTCACGACAGGCGTGTAAGAAATCATGGACCCCAAGCCCCCTGGCAACAAAGCGTAGAGCACCAACGCCTTCCCTTCGATCATGCAGGCGATGTGGTTGTCAGCATTCAAGCCGTGCACGGCCGCCATGACCTCAGTCAAGCGCTTCAAGGAGAGCAAGAGTGTCACGGGGCCCTCCGGGGATGGCTCGTTCTTGCCCTCCATCACCAGGGTAAGTGCAGGAAAGGTGGTGGCAATTTGGACGAGCTCCGACTCCGCGGACAAGCGGATCCACGCCCTCTCCCCCGGCAGCTCCGACCGCTCCTTGGCAGCCTCCACGGAAACGGAGGCGGCCCCCACCTGCCTCATTCGCTCCAACACCGTGCGCATCCTGCTGACCGGCCCCGGGATCTCGACCTGGAACTCCGGCTCCGGCAGGGCTGGCTCGCACACGGCCTCCGCCTCTACCTCGGGGATCACCCGCACCGGGACCTCCTGGGTCGGTGCTTTTTGAGACCCTGTTGTACCAAAAAGGAGCACCATGTTACACCACACGCCACAAACACATGACATACCCTCCTGGCCCACTTTGTGATCCGCGGCGTTGCCGGCTAAGTTGAACTCGAAGTGCAGCACCGGCTTGCCCTCGTGCCCGTTGGCCAGGCGCAACGTAGTGTAGTCGCTGCTGGCGCAGCTGTTGAAGACATGCAGCAGGTTCGCGATGGGCGCCTTTAGGCACCCATACGAGTCGCAATCAAAACCGATCGGTATCAAAATGGTCTACCCATGTAAAGAACTACTGATCAGCGGCCGCACCCAATTCTGGCAGGGACTTAACCTTCAGCTACCCAACCACAAGCCTAAGGCACTAACCCAGAGGCAACTTCGGTCGCGTGAGCTCGCTAACCGTTGGTCAAGGCCAAGGCCTCCAGGTCGATCTTGTTCCCGCGCTTGGACTCGATCCGGTAATCCTGGAAGAGCTTCTGCACTGGGAAGTGGCTCCAGGTCTGGGAGCCTTCGTCCACGCCTCCCTTGTGGCAGAAGGCGAAGGCCTCACCAGTTTGGCGACTCAAAAACCCCCCCCCCCAACACATAACATACATAGTGTGCTTTTCCTTTTACTTTTCCCCCTTGCGAGCAATCTCTGGACTTTATGGATTTCCAGGTCCAAAAGTGACCACAGCAATGCCAACTTGTGTGGGCGCCCCAACGTTGAACAGTCAACCAGGGCTTGGCCGCAGGGCGAAATCGCACGCCTCCGGCGTCAGCTTCACCACCACGCTGGGCACGCTGGTGCTCTTCACCGTGCGCTGCAGCCGCTGCAGCGCCTGCAGTACCCGCAGCACCACCTGGGTCTGTGGACTCTCTGGAGGGCAAACCCAAAAAGGAAGCCACTTTTTTGTTGGGGGGGTCCACGAGTTTGACACATACCCACCTCCTGCAGCGAGGTTGGCTGGTTCGGCTGGTGGTTGGCGATGGTGGCCCTGAACTTCATCGTGATCGCGATGGCGATTCCATGGGTCAAAAGAACTTCTTTGTTGGCTGCGAGGTCGCTCTGTATATTTTCTCTCATGTCTGTGATGAAACGCACGCCGTTTGAGCGGACCTGCTTCCGTTTGGCTCAGATTGAACTGCTGACCATGCTCGTTGCGCGGCCAAGCATTCTGGGCTCCAACAGAAGTGTCAAACAAGCTTTGCTCGAATTGTCTACAACAAATGTAGCTCGAAAGGCTTTCGACGTCCCCAATCACGAGTCCCAACCCGTTGAAGCACAGCTGCGGCGTGGTTGCTCTCAAAGGCCACCAGTCTGCCAGGTGCAGACTGGTCCCCCTACCATGATGCTCATGGAAGAGCATAGCTCAACACAATGGTCGTGTTCGATGACAACTTGCTGGGACCCTATCCCCTCCGTGAAACTACAAAGAAGGCAACACACATCTTAAGTCTCAAGTCGCCAGGGTCCCTTCCAATGCTGGTGGGCGTGGGACACACGATGCATCTCGAGCTTGGGGAACTGACGAAAAGCTTGGTCCGTCTTGCGCCAGGAGCCGAGATCTAAAATCTCAATCCAAATGGCCCAACTTGCGATTTTGTTGGTTTCGCTCGCCTTGCTAAGCAATAGGCCCAAGCGCAATGCAGCCGGTGCACGCACTTCCTGCCTCTCCCCGAGTGCTGCTTGACCGTCTGGCCGCCAGGCTGTGTATCGCACAGTGCCAGGCCTCGGGCAATTCATCAGCTGCGCTCAGCAACCAGTCAGTCGCTCAGTAGGGAACGTGGGGATGAGATGGGATAAGCCCTAGAAACCATCCCTGGTGGTTTCCTTTAAGGGGACCCCTGGGTTCATTTCGGGTTGTCCACGCAAACAACCCGAAGGCGCCAACTCGCCTCACCTGGACTTTCCATAGGGCGCCCCGCGCCACCTTCACGGACGTCCGGAGGCGCTGTTCCTCGTCCTTTTCCACCTGCCGAAGGTGCAAGCAGCCCGCTCTGCTTCGCTGGCACATTTACACTGCCGCAACACAAAGTGACATTTGCCCTTGAACAGGAAGCCAAAGCTGCCAACACAGGGCGTCACACGGAAGCCCGGGACTCAAGGCCATGAGCAGCGGCCTGCTGCTTCAACCGCTGCATCCGGAACTTCCTGTGGACGGAGTCCTGTCGCCCGCGAAGTGGCGCTATGAGGGCATGCATGGCTGCCACAGCTGGCAGCCCACCAAAGCACGCAACGGCAGTATGTCAAGGCTGAGCATGCGACCCTGAGATGGGAAGGCTGTGCGCCTCCTCCCACTCCCTGCCCCAGCCCTTGCTCCTGGAAGAGCTGAACAAAGCGAGGGCTGTCTGCGCTGGCACCTCCACCCCCAGCACCTCCGGCCGGCAAAAACGTAAAACACGCGCTACAGCCGCTACAGCCAATAAATACTTTGCCGCAACGTTCAAAATTCTCATCAGCCATTAAGTACTTACACGTGCCTGGGCACAAACTACAGTGCACACAAACATGCTAGGAATGTCCTATCATAGCAGCCTGATTGCTAAAATGCTGTCGGGAGCATCCGATCGCAAAAGGTACAAGGATTACGCGATCCAGATCATGCGAGCCTCTCATAAGTATGGGTATACCTGCCTTGCTTGTTGACTCTATGACCAGCAGGACCCTTCAAGCCAAGAATCTTCCGGCAGGCATCAATTTCATGGATCAGCACAAGCATGAAGAAACCGGCCCACATCCAAACAAGGGAACGCGTGTTCTGTACCGCCTTCTTGCTGGAAAAGGTTTGGACCCTCTGCTGGGCAAAGCAGCCCAATCACACCCAAGCGGCTTGTGTGCTGAAGAGTGAAGGTCAACCAAATTCTTCCGGCAATGCGGCAATACCGCCCTTTCAACTTCACACTATAAACAACAATGTGAGTGGAGCGTCTTGCAAATAGGCCCATGGACGTTTCAAGCGCTCGCTGGAAAACCACCTCCAGCTGGACAGAGTCCAGCAACCAAAGGCGATGTAATTACCGGGCCGCGCCCGGGCCAACTTTGTCAAGGCGCGCTGTGAAAGAGTGCCAAACCTCTTGGGCGTGCTCTCGTTTGACCGCGACCGAACCTCAGCATGCAACTGTCACAGACTCTTGGCGTGCGCCAACAAATGCAGCGGAACCTCCCCAACAATGCAAAACACCCCTCATTGAAACCTACAGCACTTCACAAACAGAGTCGCGGCATACAAGCTTCAGCAGCCACCCGCCAGCTGGTTAGTCCATGAACCGGTGAAAGCCTATCAAGAACTTCACCAGCTGGCCTTGCTGGTGCCCACTGCTTCATTCCCACCTGTGGGTCCACCATGTCCAAGCTGGTGTCTAAATTATCTGTCTGGACGCAGCTTCCAGCCGCTGTTGGGTCTGGCCTGGGATAGCCTGTGGGTCCAGTGCGCCACAGAATCGCCACTCTCATTTTGTCACATTCAGAGTTTCAACTGAAAGCATCCTGAGGCAAAGGGCCCCTGACACCTGCGAATTCATGCAGATGACTACCCCGCGAACTGAGAGATCTCACCAACATCATTGCCTTCCCAAGTTTGAGGAGAACAGAAGCTGATGATGTACTGCAATGACCCTTCACTGCAATAACCATGCGAAAACAAATGCATGTTGCGAAAACCAACCTGAGCCTCCAACTCAACCTAAGGTCTCTTAGACAACCATCCCTCCAGAGCAGGCACCCGAAAATACAGGAGGGATGTGCAATGCCGCCATGCACTGCAGCCTGGGCTGACCCCAATCATAAGAACAACCCAGTCTCTCCCCTCACCGGGGGACCCTGGCGCTCTGCGGTGCTGAAGCAGCCGCATTTGCGCCTCCAGCGCCATTGGCGGGCGCGCGGCGGTTCCCGCAGCGCCGGCAGAACTGCGCGTCATTGGGCACTGAGTTTCCGCAGTACCAGCAGTCCTCGACTGGCAAGTTGGCAAGTGAAAGCCAAACCAAACTGAAGCACTGAGACATGAAAAAGGAACCACTAATTTCTGGTTTTGCCCACTGAGACATGAAAAAGGAACAACCAATTGATATTTCTCTCCATCCCAGATCAAAATCAAAGCTTTGGATAAAGCCCGCGCCTGCCGAAGGCTCGGCTTCCTGGGCAGCTCTGCCTTCTCCAGCTCCGGCTGGACGTGCCGCAGGTTCCTCGGATGCCCTGAAGGCCTGACTGGATAAAAAGAATAGAAGGACCCGCAAGTTGCAACGGCAAGAACTCAACCATGTGTGTGAGGCTACGTTTTTGCGTCAAAAGTTTAGTGCATAAACGCTGCAAGCGTTGCTCCTTGCATGTAGTGATGCACTGGTGATGGTCAAGAAGCGGCACCCTTTTCATTGCTTGATGAGCCGAGCCGGTTGCCCGCTCTGTCACTCAACCTGGACCCCCCCTTCCTGCAGGCCCCGAGTGCACAATCCACCGAGGGTCTCTAGGATGTGGCTCGTCAAAGGCTCCACCTTGCGCTCGCAGGGCCCACCCAATCCGCCCCCCAAGCCAGCTGAAACCGCTCGTCGAAACAAAACACACTGCAGGCCAAGCAAAATTTCACACAAGCATCTCCCTGCAAAGACAAAGGATGCTGCTCGTCCCTCCCGATCCCCACCGCGATCCGCTGGGTTCCGGGCCAGGCTGTCGGGCAGGTCATGGTCCAAGCAGAACTGGATGGCCAGGTCATGCGCCTCGAATCTGCTAAGGTCGGAAGCAAGGACGCCATTGACTGCGCGTGCGGGCAGTCAAAGGGGCGGCTTTTTCCAGCCTGTTTCTCCTGCGTGTAGGTTGTTCGTTTGAGATGGTCCAAAAACATAACCGCGGTTCTGGTACATAAGTTCGAGTCGTGACGGCTCGTGGGTGCAAGGCATTTGGAACACCCGCCGCGCCTCCTCACCCTCGTGCACGTAGATCGTGGCATGCTGGTTATCCTCAGGGCGCGGGGGCGGAAGCAGACTGGGGCGCGCTTGCACCAGATTCCACAGACTGGGTTGCCGACTGCCACCTCCACGGTCACCTTGAGGATCCTTGGAGCCGTGAGTGAAGCTGTCAGCACTGTGCCCACACATGTGATGGTCAGCGCTACTTGTGTGGTTGGTCAAGGCTTGCTTTATGGGAGTTCTTAAATTGGGTATATTGGTTGCATAAAATCTTCAAGAGTTGATGACCCCATCCTCGCCGAAGGTAAAAGGTTTTTGTGACACCGGCACATGTGGGTGTGCCTCAGGATGGGGAACCCTCCCAAAATCACATCTAAAACCAAACATGCCTTTCAGAAAAGACACGCGCATGTGGCGGCTAAGACTCAAAAGGTGAGTCTCAATCGAGACTTTGCATTGAAAGGGTCTACCCAGAACCATGTAAAGGACTAAAAGGTGTTGAAAGAGAAAGGGGCTGTTTATCTTTTGGCCAGCGGAGATACAGTTTTGTGCAGGTACATGTGAGCGACTGTGGTGATCAGGCGTGCTAACGAACATGCTAAAGGCATCAAGGTGAGGGCCAAGATGCAATCGGCCAGCTCCGTTGTCGGCATCGCCTCAGGTGTACGCCGGGAAGATGAACGGAGCAGAAAGCGTGAAAGGAGCACATGCGTACTGCATACTGTTCATGTCACATATATGCACACAAACATATATATGTATACAACAATAGGTAGATAGATGGATAGATAGATAGATAGGTAGGTAGGTAGATAGATAGATAAAGGTAATATAAGATAATAAGATAGATAGATAGATAGATAGATAGATAGATAGATAGATAGATAGATAGATAGATAGATAGATAGGCAGATAGATAGTTAGATAGAATAGATAAGATCAGATAAAAATAAGATAAGATAAGATAGTTAGATAAGATAAGATGAGATAAGACAAGACAAAGATAAGATAAGATAAAAAGATAGATTAAATAGATTACATACGTTAGATAGGTTAGATAGATTAGATAAATTAGATAGGTTAGATAGATTAGATAGATTAAATAGATTGAATAGATTAGATAAGATAAGATGGATAAGATGGATAAGATAGATAAGATAGATAAGACAGATAAGATAGATAAGATAGATAAGATAGATAAGATAGATAAGATAGATAAGACAGATAAGATAGATGAGATAAGATGGATAAGATAAATAAGATAGATAGATAGATAAGATAAGATAAGATAGGATAATATACGATAAGATAAGATAAGATAGATAAGATAGATAAGATAGATAAGATAGATAAGATAGATAAGATAGATAAGATAGATAGGATAGATAGGATAGATAGGATAGATAGGATAGATAGATAGGTAGATAGATAGATATATAGATAGATAGATAGATAGATAGATAGATAGATAGATAGATAGATTAGGTAGATTAGGTAGGTTGGTAGGTAGGTAGGTAGGTAGATAGATAGATAGATAGATAAGATAAGATAAGATAGATAGATAGATAGATTAGGTAGATTAGGTAGGTTGGTAGGTAGGTAGGTAGGTAGATAGATAGATAGATAGATAAGATAAGATAATAAGATAGATAGATAGATAGATAGATAGATAGATAGATAGATAGATAGATAAATAGATAGATAGATAGATAGATACATAGTTAGATAGATACATAGATAGATAGATAGGTAGATAGATAGTTAGATGGATACATAGATAGATAGATAGATAGATAGATAGATAGATAGATAGATAGGTAGGTAGGTAGGTAGATAGATAGATAGATAGAGAGAACATATGTGTAAAGGCAAATGTGAGTCCTTGACTGGATGTTCGGCCATGACGGCACAACCTAATGTGACTATCACAACTCAGGTGTACCAAGCCAACATCAGAAAAGCACATATTGTATATATATATAGATATATATATATATATATACGTGTGTGTGTGTGTGTATCTTCGTGATTACGCAAAAACAGGCGAACAAGCGCCGGTGAGATAAGATACCACTGCGTCAGCACTGGCGCACTATGACATCCCCCCAGGCGGCTCTGGGCTTCGTGCCCATGCCGGCCGAAGCAGGGCAGAGCCCAGCAAAGGGGGAGCTCGAGCCGGTTGCCATCAAGCGAGCCCATTCTTCACTTGTGAAAACCCCCGAAGGCGAAGGAAGCAACACCATGGATGCATTCATAACACATTCAACTGGATTGGTCTTCATCCTATGACGAGGTCTCGCAAAGACGTGCAGTGTGCAAGCCTCCAGGTGCCATGTCACATGCCCCGGGCCGTTTTCTGCACCAAGCAAAGCAGCACATCTCATTGGGCGCCAGGGCGTCCCGCACACGCTTCGGCTCCAGCCTGGAGCAAAACCGGGGAGAACGCGGCAGAGCACGAGCCCTTCGGCGCCAGAGCCCAGTTCATGGAATATGGCCAACTAGCGCATGGAAAGCACTGACACGACCCTTACATGTGCCCCAGCCGGGTCACTAGTGCTCAACCGAGGATTGGCAGTACTTGCACTTGATCACAACAATTATCAAACCTGCCCAAGCCAAAGCCAATCCCCTGAAGCCCATCCAAGCAGCTCACCTGGATGAGGATTTGCCCACGTCCCCATGCCCACGATCCCCGGCCGAGGTTCGGGCAGCCACGTGCTCCGCCAAAAGGGCCACACCACTGCAATGGCCACCGCCTGGCACGAGCCGAGGCGGGGCCAACCCCGCCTGGCACTGGGCAGGGGTCCGGAGTCTACATCCACGAGATTCATATCCTTGCCCGTGCTACCTGCACCGAGTCTGAGCAAATCAAACCGCGGCAGCTCGGCATCTACAAAACCCGGGTTGCGCCTCCAGCTGGTGAGATGGCAACCAGCCGAAAATCCGCGAGTCCTGCAAAAGTTCCGAGAGGCAGCAAGAGGCACTGCAAGCTAGCCCCTGTCCTCAGAAAGCAAAGCATTGTCGCCCTCCACCCAGCACCTCGGGTCCGGAAAGCAAGCTTGTCTGCCTTTGACCGCAGGAGGCTTTCGCAAGCCAATCTGCAGACATACCATGCCGAGCTCATCCCACCGCACCCCAGTTCGATTTGCTTGCCAATAGCGAAAGAAGCGCAGCCTTGAGCGAAATGACATGAAGCCCAAGCCTTCCCACACACCCACCCGCCCACTCAGTGATCAACCCAGCCTGCCGAGGGGAAACATTGATGGAAATTTACGGCGGATGCATCTGCCCAACCTCCCACTGCCGTTTCTGTGTGGCGAATGTACCAGCATATCTTGGAAATCGGCTGGGTCCATCTTGGTTCCCCTTCCAGTGAGTCAACAAAGAGTCCAACTGGCCTAAAATCAACCTACCCACAGAAGAAAAAACAAGGGAAGAAGCAACAAAAAGCAGGAGCGTAGTTCAGCAATCCTTCCTCCCTTTTCACCAATGCCTCGGGCCGGCACCACCCGCGCAGGCGCTGGTCCTGTGGCCGGAGCTGCCAGCGCGCACCGCGCTCGTCCTCGCCGCGCTCGTACTCGGTGGGCGCCTCGCGGCTCGCGGCTCGGAGTTATTCGCCCGCTTGGAACTCGGAAATTGGTGTGCAACACTTGGAAGAAGACATTGGTGTTCAGCATGTTGCCATGGGCTTTTCAAAATCCCCAAATCTAAAAATCCAAGGGTCAAAATCTCAAAATCCAAATCGTACCCCCAGTGGTTACATCCGATTCAATCCAACCACTAAAATAGGTTCTAACATGGGTGGTGAATTCACCTACCCCAAAATGAGATCCCATTGGTTTTGACCCACAGCAACATGTTCAACACTCACATTGGGGGGATTGTTTCCTTTCGTCTTCACTTAGTCTTTGTTCGTACGTGAGGGCTGCAAAAAAGCCTGAAGCTGTGTGCGGGTTTTTTTCCCTGTGTGCAGCCAACAAACGCACCCGCATACCTGAACATAGCTGGATGACAAAGGTCGCGGAAACTCACGCACAGGTCAAAATAACAAGGATATTCACAAGAAACACCTTATGCTTTATAATGGAAAAAACAGCCCCTCACATGCCACATCACTCCACACCTTCTATGTCACCGAAATTTGGAAGCACTGCCACTGCTTCCTGGTTCCTAGTAGTGCCTGCTCCCCTTCCCACCTCGAACACGATGTCTTTGAGGCGCTTCACCTTGAGAGCATTCAAGAGTCAAAACATGCGCCAAAACATGAGAGCTTCTAGCTGTCATGCTGGCATGTGTTCCTGAGTGCTGCCTGCGATCCTACAGGTGATTCGGAGACAACCTCTACGCATGCACAACGCATGCACAAATGAGCGCCTTACTACAACCTTTATGCAACCAGGTAGAGAAGACGGACCGAAAGCTGAAGCTACCCTTTTCATCAGCCTGCTCTAGACTAGTCCTCGTCGCAAGCAGCGTCCCCCCCCACCCTGGCTTGTGAACCAAGAACGTGAAATAGCAATCAGCAGGCGTTCAGCCCAGACAAACCCGTAACGTCGAAATAGCACGCTAAAGAAGTGGCACTTCGTGTCATGCGTGGCAGCATTTGCCGCTCGGACAGGGCAGGAATAGGCCCCCTGCAATTCTTTCAATAATCTACAACATGCGTTCGTCGACGTCCTGCCCAAATACTAAATCAGCAACGGGATCACCCCCACCCAACAAACAAACCTCAAGCAACGGCTCTTGGAGGCCTGCTTCAGGAAAATGGTTTGTGGTGCTGGCGCCCCCTCTTCCACAATCCGATCGCTTCCCACATTGGACAACAACTCCCAAATGCATGTAACAACAGCAACTTCCAATCCAATTTCTTTCCGGACGTGTGGCGGACCTGCCTTGCGTTGCCCTCAACTCTCGGACGGCCGAGCGCAGCACCATCCTGCCAGTCCCATCCACCAGCAGCACGACATCGCCCACCTGCGGCACAATGTGGACCTCGCGGCGCGAACACCCCCGCATCTGTAGTGCCATGCCTTTGGTCACTCCTTCCAAACACCAGCCTCAATAACCCGAGCAAAGCTCGCTACCTGGAGTCTGCCAGATCTCCTGCTCAGGTTCTGACACTTCGGCTCGGCCGCAAGCCCACCACCATGTCGCTCTCCTCGAAACAGTCGCAGGCAGCTACCCAGCCACCCACACATCCATGCGGCAAAAACAATGGGATTTGAATTTCGTCGCATCTCTGGCACCCCGCGGCCAGGTGCAGAGCCCCTCCCAACATACAAACCCTGTTGCAAAACCACTGCAGGCGTGCAATGCGCTTTGTCAGATTTCGACACCCCTCTGCTTGCAGCCAAGCATCACATAGGCCGGGGCCTCCCCGAAGAGTCCTCCAGCCGCAGTGACGGCTAGAATATGGATTTGCACAGGGAGGGCAAACCCAAACACCCTCCAAAGGAGGATCAAGGATTGGCTCAAACAAGCGTAGGAGCCAACTCCCCTTCCCATCGTTGGAAATCCAAAGGTAAGCCAGGGATAGGAATGAATGCGTCCTTGGGACACATGGATGTTATGTTGAAATTGCAGCCCTTTTCATCTGGAATACCTCCTCGCTCTTTGGGACCTGATTACTTACTCATCGAAGGATTGTCGGCAGGGGCTCTGAATCGAAGTCCTGGGCAAATGAGACTACTGCACCATAGGCTCAAAATTGGCAACCAAATCACCCAAAAGCCCAGAAAAGCCCGAAAAAAAGAAGAAAAACAAAGTGTAGGGGTAAAACTGGGAGGGCCAGTTTTGGCATCCCACCAAATGCCGGTGAGCCGCGGCATCATGCTGCGGCCCTGGAGGTGGAAGCACTCCATGGTCCACGGCAGCCTGCCGCATGACTCTCAGCCCCAGTGGTAGCCTTTACGCCGCCTGAAACAACCAAACCATCAAACGGAGCCAAACCAAAAATAGACCAAACTCAAAGAGCAAGCCGCGCACAAATGTCACTGCAACGCACCAATCCGCCCCGCAAGCACGAATGCATCTACGGTGCGGACCCTGCCTAACGGCTGCTAGAAGATTTCGCACCATCACCTGCGACCTTGGGGCTGACATGAAGCTGCAGCTAGGCCAGCTCAGGCCGGCTCTGCTCATCAGCCGGCCCTTGAAAAGGGGGGCCAGGGGGGTGAAAAGTTGATCGCATCTTGTTTAAACAGTCCGCAAACTCGGCCCATGTCCACGCCTCTCCCAAGCCGAAAGTCCGGCTCTCGTGGCCATAGCTTCGGGGAAAGTTGCGCGCCTCTGACGTGCGAAAGCTGAGCTCTTTCTCAGAACGCCTTGTGGCGACGCTTTTAACTCTCAGACCTAGACTTGCAGAAATAGCGCGGGCTGCGCCGCTCGTTTCAGAGATTAACTTGCATGGTTTGTGTATTTTTTGAGGCTCCTCTGGTTGTGCATCTTGTGGGCATGATGCAACCAAACATGGAAACTTGATTTTCGAAAGGCAAGGTGGGGGATTTGCGGGCTTCCTGAACCTGACCGCATGTCGTAAGTTGCTGTTTGTGCACACCTTGAGCATTTGTCAGCGCACATAGAGGCCGTCGATGCAGAACCATTGGCACAGCGGAGCATTGCATTGACTGACCGAGGCACCGAAGCCGGCACCAGTCGGTTCTGAACCAGCTACGGGTCGTGTCACAACGGGGCCAGATTTTTGTCTGGCTTCCTCAGTTCGGAAAAGCGCCTGAATGCCCAGCCCTGCCCGGCCCCCCGGTTTTTATTCAGGCTTCCGGCGGTTCAGCGCTTGCGATATGTACACGCTGACAAGAGCGAACCTTGGGTAGAGCGACCGGGCCGCAAGTCTCACAAACCTTGCTGACAGCTTTGAAACACATGCCTAGATATGCAAGCCGTCAAAGAAAACTGAATACAGATCCAACAACGAGGAAAAGGTCCCGACGTTGTTTGCTTGTCCTGCGCCTCTCTATTTCACTTTAAGGCAACTGACCAAAGAATTGCCGTGACTCCGTGAAACACGGCCAGAATAATCCCAAGGACACCAGGTTCAGTTTGGCCCGTGCAGCGCTACTTCTCTCGGTCGCAGTAGCGGTGGGCTGATCTTGGGCCGCCTGTTCCATTCTCAAACCACGGAGAGGGGGAGCGACAGGTTTCGACTGGGAAATTTAGGCCA